AAATAGCAACAGCATGAGACATGACAACCTGATCGTCACCAGAGGCATTGAGATGGGATTCAGGGGATTGCTTGCTCTCGGTGCATAACAATGATATGACGTGATCAGCAATTGGGCCACTTAACAGGCTTGTTCTTGAGTTTTGGTCTTTGAGGACTTCTAGGAGCAAATCATACTCGTCTTTACTGCCTTCCGGGCTCTCACCTGCAGGGTTGATGCCCTGGGAAGAAGCAACCAGACGCCTGAAGAGCTCATGCTTCTCAGGCTTGAGCCCAATGGGTTCATATGTTTCCAGATAGCTATCAAACCATTCGAGAAAGAACTTTATCTTCGCTACTACAGTTTCAACCAGACCTGGCTGAGCTGTCTCTGTCGGAGGAGCAATTAGGAATCGTCTGAGCGACAAGAGTGTAGTGACCGCGATCCCGGCCATGAGACCCGGGCTTTCACTCAGATAAGCCTTCCCTGCTTCTAACAGGTACCAGAAGATACCAAGTGTGTCTTCTGCGCAGAAGATGTCAACCAAATATGGTCGAAGGGCGTGTATCACCATTTCAAACGGGTAGTCACTTAGCATCACGGACCCAGCAATGCTCACAAGTATTCTGATTTTTCGAATAACAGAGCAAGCATGTAGAGAGCCAAGGGCGGGATGAATAGATTCTAAGAGCGTTCGACAGACATAAGTTGCCAAAGTGGGTGTCCATATAGTCCCAAGGTCATATCCACTCCGCTTGCAGAGGAACTCAAGCTCGTCCAAAAGATAACGTGCCCTGAAGGAAGGTTGCTGATTTGCAGGCAAAACGACCTCAGAAACACTCTTTTCGGTCATACGTTTGAGAACTGCATGCGGATTCCCAAAGCCCTCACGCTTCAGAAACGCTCTCTCGATCTGCTCGTATTGATCCAGGGTGCCAAAGAAGATTGCGATCATTTGCGGGAAGTGAGCCTCAATCAAAGACACGAATTTGTCAGTCCCTAATAGCTTCTTCATTCGGTTCTCTACTCCTCTTGGCTGGCTTCCGTGTTCAGGAGGAGTACTGATATCCCGTGCTATACTGTACGCCTCTGCCTTGCAAAAAGAGTCCATTACAAGGTGATCAAAAGGCACATCGGTGCAGGCCGAAAGCTTTGCTCCTTCGGTTTCATTTGCACGCATCATTACCTGCCCGATTATCTCATCTTGAACATCTATAAGCATCTCCTTGAGGCTTTTGTAACCAAAGACGCTGTAAGGCATGCGCATAACGGATTGTTCCTCAGTCCAAGTGTAGATAATTTGGGACGAAAACAGTCGAAACAGTTGCTTTGCGTCTTCAAGGCCCAGGGTTTGCGCTACATCCCGTAGGCAGTTCTCCGCATAGCGAAGTGAGTTTGGGACCTTGGCAGCGGTCTCAAACATATGATAGATGCTTCTCCGGAGCAGAGTGTGCCATCGGGAAGCGAGACGAGCCAGAATAACCAAGCGCAAAGCAATGCCTTCATCCCAGTCTGAATCACGGGGAAGACTGTCCAACACGTCGTCGAGGATCAGATCATGTTCCGTGAGAGAGTATTGACCGAAAAGTGAAGGAATGAGCTCCCCAGCATAGAACTTGGCTACGGCATCCCCTTCTCGAATAATCGTGAACAGACTCGTTCTAGGTGACGGGCTAGATGGACCGCTTGAATACGTGACGTTGTGGGAGAGTAGATCACTTAAGAGCCGTGTAAACTCGATAAGAACTGAAGTGGAGGCCAACCTTTTGGCTAGAAGTACCTCAGTAAACCATGAGTATATGTCGGTTGCTGAAGCATGAAAATCGTCATCCTCTGAGCCAGTCCACATTTCAACAAAGCTGCCCATCATGCGCAAACAAAGTACGTGAGAGCTTTCGCAGCGCTCCATTTCGTATGATTGCAAGCATTTCTCACCAAGATCTTCGAGTATCCTCAGCAAAGAATGCCGTTCCACTCCATCACATACACATGCGCGATATACATGAGGTAAGAAATTCTGCGCCGATAGAATGTCAATTTCGTCGAGACCGGTCAGATATTCGATAAGATCATCATGGAAGGGATGTTCAGAGGAGGCGGAAGAGGCATGTATCCTCTGGAAGATGGATAAGTAGACGGTGATGCTGCGATGTAAGGTTGCAATATCTTGAAGTACTTGCGACGTTTCTCGGTTACTACTGAATATACGTACGAGCTCTGTCGATTGGTCGTAGGATGTGAGGATGGGATCATCCAAATCCATAGCCTCTTCACTGTTCAAGAGCAACACTTCTTTCTGTTTTTCCCGGTAGCTTTCCAGTACATCGGCGAGGGAAGGAACCAGACCGGAGAGAGCACCTATGAGAGCCGGGCTGGAACGAGGGAGAAGTGCATTTGGCACAAGTAGGGGTGTTAGAGTAATCAAGCATGCATGAATAAAGACGGGCTCTCGAGAAGCGAGGAAAGTACACAGCCGTTCCCAAAGACGTCGATTGTTTTGCTGTATGACAGACACCCGGTTTGCAGATTGCTGAGGGAGACATGCCATATACAATGCAATAGTGACACAAGACGATGTGACTATTTGCACCAGATCTACTGTTATATGGTGTGTTTTGTCTTCGGATAGTGCTTCCCAGGTCTGTAGAAGTCCCTCAACTTTGCTTTGCAGCAGATCAAGAGCAATATTATCACTGGAGTCTTGTCGGGGAAACTTCTCCAGAGACAGGGTCTCTTGCGGGTCCCAGTATTCAGCCAAATCCAACAACCCTTGAAGGTCAAAGATGTAGTTGAGGAGCCGTTTGTTCTTGAGACAAAAGTGCCATCCCCTAGCAATTAGTCCTACCGGCCCTATGTAACGGGCCTTGGGTAGTGCGAAGGGCCTGTTGGCACATGCAAAAAGCATGTTCAGAAGGTCTAAAGGACGTGCGAACATAGCAACTTGGGCTATCTGTAACCGATCGGCTAGCGAACCTATCAATACAGGTGAGTAAAGACGATACGGAGGCAGCATTGGAAAGAAATTACCGGTACCCCAAGTTTCCCTCAGCCAGGAACAAATTTTATTGGAAGCATCCGGTACTAAGCCCGGGTTTATTTGCGAGGTGATCCGAAGTATTGTCGCCCAGAATGCCAAGGATGAATCTGAGATAGTCGAGGGGCCATTCGTATTGATTGATGTGAGCATGGAACTTGTTGCTTGTGCGACTATTTGGTAGTCTAGAAGGCTTCGCTGAAGTATATTGTTTAACAGGTGGCAGGCAGCTCTGGCTGTCGCTTGAGAAGGGGAAACACGGGATGCCATCTCCCATGCGCGCTGCCAGCAATGTTTCAGCGATTGGGAGTTTGCATCAGGGCTACAAGCAATGCTATTTGGATGCCTTGTGTTAGTCACGAATAATTGAAAGCCAATTGAGCACCTACCTTGCAATCGCTACCATCGTCCAGGAAGCCGTTATGGCATTATCATCCAATATATGGGGAAGCAATCGCTCGAGCAGAGAGTATTTCGACTCGGCGGTGGCGTAGCTCCTAGGGAGAAAAGGTATTAGCTGGAGAGCGCATAGCCTCCTCATTCCAGAAGACGCCGTTGAATCACGAAATATGTCGTCTATAAGCGAGGCGAGACGCTGCCTTTTCGTCGCAGCCTCTCCAGATGCAGGATACAGTGATGATTTATCGCGTAATTCCTCTGCTAGTTCGAGTAGCTTTGCTATAATCCATAGCGTCGTCCAACTGTGTTCAGATCTGGCACTTTCAAGACGGGGCCATGCTGAGCATTCTTGCTGTTGTTCTGAGCCGCTGTGGTGGAATATTAATTCATCCAGCTGTAAGATCTCCTTCTCAGACCGTTTGATGTACTCCGTATACAAGGTCTCCAGGAGTTCCTCAATCACATGTGCAATCAACTCCGATGGATCTCTCCGGGCGGCATCAGTCAAGACAACCGCACAAAGCATGACAGTGACGAGCATTTCATCTTTCAGTCCTAGAAGCTTAGTTGCCCAAAAACGTCTGATTGCCGGTATGATGTCTAGAAGCGACGACCTTGCAAGGTCAGATTGATCAAATAAAATCTTCATGACAACTGTGTTTACACTAGCAAACGCAGCTTGGTGTCCACTCCCAGCGATCATTGACGACCCTACGAACTTGATGAGGCCATGAAGTACACGCTCGGCTGCTTCCTGAATTGGGGCGCTTGGGCTCCCGACCAAAAGTTGGATACAGACGACAGCTTCCGTAGCCGCACTGGTGTCACCTTTTGGCTTCTCGCTCGCTGTGGGCATGGGAGTTGATCTGGCCGGTGTGGAGGCCCTGCCTCCAGTAGAGAGATATCCATCCAAGAAGGATGAACGCTTTTCTCGAATCGTAAGATCCTCCTGATCATTGTGAGCATTAATACTCTTCAGACAAAAGTCCACGACTTTCTCCCATTCACTAAGAGCAAGGTGCTCGAGGTGGGGAGGATAACGCAGGAGCGTGACCAAGCATTTGGCGTAGTCCACACTAAGCAGTTCAAAGAGTGAGTCGCTTCCACGGCCTAGCAGAGTATCGGTAATATGATCAACGATTGCACGAACGGACTTCGTGCGCAGGTTGCGCAGGAACACATCAACGGCGATTCGAAGGACAGATGCACAGGATGACAAGCGACTTGCAGAAGCTCCCTTGGAATTGGACCGATTGTAAAGAGACTTCTCAACCGATACAAACCGGAACAGTGACTCAAAAATCTTGTGGCAGGCTTTGTCATTCAGAGAGTTTCTAGATGCATGCGAACATGTCAACAGCTGTCCGCCTTCACTGCATACATACGGAGCAGCACGAACTCTTTACATACAATTTTGAGTTTCTTCTATTCTTCAGGAGTATATGCTTTAGATCTAGTCTGAGTTAGAACGGCACAGTCAGGGAGTCCGGTATATTTGCAGGACAAACCAGCAAGCCCGTCTGAGCGCTCTCTGAGCTTCTCCGAAGCCAGAAGCGCAATGGCCCCATCTAAGGTAATGTCGCCCATGATGGATGTGAGGCGATGGGCAGGTCAAGGAGAGTAGAAGAGCTACGTAATTGGCAGTGATGCCATACCCGAATTGTGGCCGTCTAGATATTCAAGACATCTCAGGGACACCAGGGGTAAAGTGGGAAAAAGGCCTTAAGAATCATCAATGGCCCAAAAACCATTATCGGTTGGTGTTTGGATGCTCCGATTCTCCGAAAGTCTTTCTTTTTGGTGGGTGCACGGCGGGCGGGCGGTAAAGATAGGATGAAGTGAGCTGAAAGCTCCGCCGCCCGCCTTCAGACCGCCGGAAGTTTGATCGCGTCCTCCGACCTTTTTTGGCCGGGACAAACACATCAGATCATCCGACTCGCCGGCGCTCCTCGCAGTTCGCGCGCACACCCTTAAGCATGGAGGAAAGAGATGCTGCAACAGGCCTTCGTGGCCTGTATCAGGATCTCTCTGCTCTTTCGGCTTCGTCCTTTGTCAACATCGAGCGTCTTCGAGTCGAGCTGGAGACTCACATCGATGATTTCAAGAAGCTCCTCGACAAACCTCCAAAGAACAACACAAGTCGCCAGGCGGTCCTCTCCGGTGAGTTTAATGAACTAAACTGTTATTCATAGGTTTTAGTCGATGCGCTAACCTTGCAATGCGATTTCATTCAGGTAAAATTACCGTCGACGACCTCGAGTACTCGATCAATGAAGAATTTCAACAGGGAGCGTTAATGCTGGCAGATGCGCTGGATCTCGATGAATTGCAAGCGGCAATGCTGTTTATGGCGGCGCAGGAAGACGCTCCTGTCTTGGATCGGCCTCCCGTCATCGCTGCGATTATGCGATTCCATGAGCGCCGACAATTCTTGCTCGACTCATTACGGCTTATTTTCCAGGAGTCCTTCGAGGTGGAGCGGGAGATGACACAGGTTCTCATGCAGGAAATGTTGGCATTTGTGGTTGAAATAAAGGATGGGCCGTTGCGAAATGCGTCACTATTCACGCGCAAATGCATGAAGTCGATGGAAGACATCGAGAGGTGGCTTGTCCTCCTTAACGAGCAAACCCAAAAAGCCTCCATCGTTGGTCAGTCAGCGGAATACGACATCGTGGAGGCTCTCGAATACCAACGCAGCAGCTTACAGCAACAACATGAATCCCTTGGTGCTGTGCTATGCTACCTATTCAAAGGACCTTACACCAGTTCGGAGGATCTCCGCTTACTCCTGGACCACCTTCGGAAGCTCGAACGTTTCGATGGACTCCTTATTCACTACCTTCCTTGCATAATTGCCTCTTTTGTTCAGCATGGGTCTCCAGAAAGCTCTAGTTCTTATAGGGACGCTAGAAGCCTACATACAGCGATCACATCCTCCAAAGACGTTCAACCCTGGAAGGTTCCCACGTTCCACTCTGCGGTCGTCGCACTATGGCTCGCTGTCTACAGCGGGTGGGATTTCGATGGGCCTGCCTCTCCTCTCCAGGGAGTGGACTTGGAGAAAGATTCAGAAGAGCGCACAAAGATGTTCATGACTGCTCTGGATGATGGAGGCCTCGAACTCATCCTCGCCGTCTGCTATGGCGTGAATGATGAAGAATGGGCTGATCCGGCCCGTAGTGAACTGGTCACGTTACTATTGAAAGAAAGCGCGTCGGCAACACTGGAGACGGATAGTTGCTCGGATTTCTTAAAGGTTCTTCTGATGGAGAATTTTGAGGCCTTTGCCGAGGCATGTATAGCGAACATGCCCGATGCGGTGCGGATGTTGAAGACCGAAGAGGATTCGCAAAGACTGGATCATCTTACGGCTTTACGAGACGGTTTGACTTCGAGCCTCCATCGTGGCCTGGTAGAGGCCCGAACACATCTTGAGTCGTTCTTGATGATCATGGCATTCGCGTTCGAGCATCGGCCAGATGCCGCACAGGAATTCTGGGCTGATCCCGATGGTAACCTTTATGGCTTCCTCCAATGGGCATCGAAACGGCAAACTGTTCCCAGGGTCAGCGCATTCTGCGAGTTACTCTGCTCCATCTCCGTAGGCGAGGACAATGCCACTGCAGCCCATCGGTTCTTGTCTGAAGAGGACAAGTTCATGTCCGCGAAATTCAAACGATCCACGTCCATGAACTGGTCGCAGATGTTCGCTGAGCTTCAACTTTATGCAACGAGAGTTACTGAAAAGCCGTCTACTTCGCAGGCGATCCTGCGATCAAGGAAACTCGACCCAGCTGATATGAGCGAGCCGGAGAGTCCAGTTATGTTGACATGCTACCTGAGGCTACTAGAGCATCTGAGTAAGCAGAGTGCTACGATACGAGACTGGCTGCTTCACCACCCTACGTTCAATGTCGTTGGCACGTTGTTGACACTCTGCAGTGGGCCCATTCCTACGCATCTGCGAGCAAACGTCTTTGCAGCGCTTGCGGCCCTGATGACAGATAGAACTTCTCACAATGGGAACGAAATGTGGCTTTCTATTGACCAGTGGATTTCTGGGGGTTCTATGAGTGCTTCCAACCTAGGGAAAGTCCCGGTCGTTTCCAACCCGCTTGTGTGGCATGAACAACAGGCCTTCCAAAGGATTGGCGAGAGTTTCGATCAAGCCAATGCCTTCGTTCGTCTCGTTTATTCGCTCATCTCCCCTGCCCTCGATTCAGCTGATTTTCACCTCTCCTTGCCGTTTCCCGAGAGCCTGGGTTCGTCCTACCGGATGCCAGGCATTGAACCTTACATAGACTTTGTCATGGGTCAGGCTCTGTCCAGGAAAATTTTGAACGAACGGCAGACCCGCTTCCTGACTTACAACTGCTTGGATTTCATCGTGACATGTCTGCAGTCTTTCAACGAAAGCCTGGTTTCCGTTCTCAGCCAGCCTACGGTATCCACTGATAGTATCGTCAAGCAATCCACATTCGTCACCTACATTCGTCTCCATCCTTTTGCACGGGTCACGGAGTGGCTTTTCAATGAGGATGTGATCAAAGCTATCTTTGCTACAGCCCATCAAGATGTTAATGAGGTTGCAAAAGCCTCGTCAGACTCCGTCCTCGTCCAGTCCTTGGTCCGGAGCTTGGAAGTCATGGACATGATGATCGACCTTCAGTCGACGTATTTTAATATTGTGAGGCCGGCGATCAAGGCCCAGACCGGCACGAGCAGAACAAATGTAGCGAACTCTGCGCTGTCAGCTTTTGAGGATAGCATTCTCAACAACTTGTCTATTATCCCTGCGTTGTGCCTTTACTGCAGCACGGGGCATCAGCAGCTCACCGTCACGTCTATGGCATTGCTGGAGAAGCTATCCAGCTCGAGAAAGCTGAATAAGATCACGTCGCCAGAGTTGTCCAAGTGGCGTTCACCGAACAAGATCGTCGAAGTTCTGAGTGCTGAGGTAGATCTCAACAGTGTGTCACGTCCACTTGTGTCCCAGATGCAACCCGAGTCGAGAGAGATAGAAGCTGGCCCACAATCTCCGGGGTACATTATCAGGGAAAGCCTCCTGGCACTTCTCAACAGCTGTCTCAGCACGATCAATGACCGACCCACGATAGCTCACCTGCTCCTTGGGTTTAACAGCATCGGAAACATACTTGATATCGCTCCTGACAGCCTGTTTGCTGATAAGATGTCACTGCTCCATGCTGTCATCGGATTCTTGCAGAACTACCCTGACGCGCTGGATGGCAATATTCTCCCATGGCTGGTGCATGTCAAGCGCATGGCCTTTGGGGTCCTGAAACACCTTTGGTCTTCTAAGCTTTCTTCCTACTTCACACTCGCCGAGATGCGTGGCAGCCGCTTTCTTCTCAGTATGTTCGCGTGTCAGCCGATCATAGGGCCAAACACACCCTGGGATGGATTTCTAATCGGCACGCCTGAGTTCTGGCTTTCTGAATCAACGGCTGGTCTTGCAGAATTTCTTCTTTACAGAAGCTATTTGTTCGAGTACGCCGCGACTGAAATTCGCTCGGCTACAAAGCTCGGGTCTCCAACTCTTCAAGCTGAAATAATTTCAACTCTATTTGGAAACTCTGTTTCGGAAACTGGGGAGACCATTGTGAATCCTTCCGTCTTCGACCTGTTCGATTTCGCGGACCTGGACACTCAACATCAGTTACAACCACCGGCCCTAAGCTTCCTTGATGGTATTGAATTTGACGCGTGTGCAAGACCGGAAACGGACAGTTCTCCAATTGTCTACAACTTGGACGAGATAGTAGAACTTGTTCAGGTCAGAAAGGAAGAATTGTCATTGAGTGGACATCTACGACCTCAGGACGAAGAGCTATTCCAGGCCGAGTCCGAAAGTTTGATATTATTCATACGGTCCACAAACCAAGCAAGCCAGATCGCGTTCAATCGTTATTTGGCCCTACGGTCCTGGACACAGCTCATCACCACGATGCTCACTTGCTCTGAAATCGATGGCGGAAGGAGAGCTACCTTCATCCTGCATTCGCTCCAGTTGATCCTCCCCAAGCTAGAAATTGCTATTGAGGAAGACCTACCGGAAGGCTTAGAATTGGCACGACTGGCCGAGACCTTGGTTAGTAGACTGGAATCTACGAAGCCTGGTTCTGGTAATCCCCGCAGGAGTGGCGACGTTCTTGATGAAAAGCTTCATCAATTATTTCAGGTCTGCGTGAGAGGTGTAACCTTAGCAAACGGAAATGTGAGCATCAGGGAGACCTTCTACAACACTTGCGCACACTATGTCGCTGGTATCATCTCAACAGAGCCCGTTCATCAGAGTATGAAGTTCCAGAGCCAGCAAGTGATCAAAGCTGCAGGCCATGCCCTGATTGAGGCCGTCTGCGATGATGCGTATGCTGGCCAGGAGACATGCCGAGTATCTGCCCTTTTGCTCCTCAATCTGTTGGCTGCTCTGGATAGGCAAGCGGATGGATTGTTGGCCGATTCTATATCCCAGTCCAACTATTTGAGCCTCTTCTTGGACACCATCAGGTCGCTACCTATCGAATTGAGAAACGCCCAGGCCAGTGGTAAGCAATATCGAAAGCAAGAATACACAGGGAAAACGCATGTCTGACCGTTTTAATACAGATACTCCTTTGCTATTGTCCTACTACCAGTCGCTCTTGTCTCTTCTTCAGGAGCTTTGCCAGACCAAGAATGGTGCGACGTATGTCCTGAAAACTGGCCTGTTCCAGGCAGTGCGGGACTCGCAGCTATTCGCAGCCGACCCAGATCTCGGCATCGGTTAGTGAAGTTCCTCCCATGCCATCGATACAATAACAGTTCTGACGGGAATAGATATTGATAACCCGGATGCTCTTCGAAAGTACTATGACCTGCTTGACTCGGTCCTCCGAGTTGTTGTCGCCGCCGTTTTCTCCCGAGGGCTGCACAACGAGCAGATGCTGGAGCAAACTCGAGTCTTCCTTGCCGAGAATAGACAAAGCATGGTTGGCATTTTCAAGAGATTTGCCAAACTTGGCGGTGCGGGTGCCGCAGATCACCATGATGCACTGCGGAAACTCACTAAGTCATACCTGGCACTTATCACGGCCACGGATTTTCTGGATGTATGCTTCACCAGTCTTTTACCCACGTCACCCATGCTAACTTAAGCTTTACAGTTCGAAGATCAGGAAGTAAAAGAGCAGACGGGAATGAAGTTCTTTACATGAAATCTATTTTCAGCTACAAGGGGATATGGAGGGGCGGGCAAAAAGCATGGAGTAAACTGGTGGGAACGATGTATATTGAAGTGTGTCTAGTCAAAGACTTAGATTATGTGCGCTATTCGGCCCGCAAATCTTTTGGGGCGAAGCAGCATATGTGACTTTGGAGCGCTTTTAATGATCGCACGTTTGTATTAAGCGCATTCATATTACCTCGTTCGTAATACTAGCATGCTCGGGTGCATGTACTCAGTAAGGTAGAGGGAGAAACCCGAAGGGAATCCCCGTCCAATCATGCGACAACCCGGGGAGGCGGACGTATTATCTTATCTCCGGCTTCTTTGGGCGCCCGCGGGCAACCACCAACTCAACTCACCTGTCGTACCCTTCCAAGCTCCAGCTCAGACCCAACCTCGACGACGCACCCTGTCCTACTCCGTCACTGTCTCGCTGTCATCAATATCCCCTCCACGGTTGACGAGCTTACCATGTTTGATAGGATCCACATACTACTTGGATCCTTCCAACGCTGAGCGCTTCTCTCAACCTCACCTCCTCTCCTCGGACGAAGCCGGGTAGATGCAGCAGAACTCGAGAGGCACCACCGAGCAGAGGAGCGGTAAGCGCAAGTCTATCGGGAAGAGGAAGCTCTCTGATCAAGGGGAGGCATTGCAACAACCCCAGCAGCAGCAAGCGAACATTTCGGAATTCCTCTCTCGGAACCATACAACCCCCGCCAGAGGTCATCACCAGCAGACGTCCCCGACGAGCAAGCGTCTACGACTATCGCCACCCTCATCGGACTCTGTCCCTTCGGCTTACTCGCGAGATCGCAGCGCATCCGACAGGATGTACAATTTCGCAAATGCAGAGTCCAGGCCTGGCGCGCCGATGGGACAGAGTGCGAGCGGGGCCGATCTTCCTAATACAACCACTAAACCTCGCACCTTTAACGCAACGTCGCGCCAAAACAATTTCACTCCCCACACTGGAGCAAAGCGATTGGTCGTGAAGAATCTCCGCACGGGATCACGGTTGAACCAGGAGTCATATTTTGAGAAGATTTGGGGCCAACTTGATGCTGCGCTGTCGGCGATCTTTGGTGGTGGAAAGCCCGAAATTTCGCTCGAAGAGCTTTACAAGGGTGCCGAAAATGTATGTCGCCAAGGTCGAGCTGCAGTTCTAGCCAAACGGCTCCAGGATCGGTGTCGAGAACATGTATCTGGGAGATTACGCGATAAATTGGTGGCAAAGGCTGCAGATGGGAGCAACGTCGATACACTGCGAGCGGTGGTAGAAGCATGGTCGCAGTGGCAGTCAAAGCTGGTATGTTATTTACTTTGGGTACAGTTGGGTTCTAAGGAGATACTGACACTATAGTAGGTAACCGTGCGCTGGATCTTCTACTATCTCGACCAGTCATTCCTCCTCCATTCCAAAGAGTTTCCCATGATACGTGAGATGGGCTTAATTCAATTCCGGCAGCACATATTTTCCGATGCCGTATTACAGCCGAAGATCCTACAGGGCGCTTGTGACCTTGTCGAGGCGGACCGTGGCGAAGAACAAAGCGTGGTGGCTGACTCGTTATTACTTCGAAATACAATTGAACTGTTCCACGGCCTTGACATCTATACAACTGGCTTTGAACCGCTTCTCATATCGGAATCCAAGAAATACTTTTCTTCATGGGCCCAGCGAGAAGCAACAGGGTACTTGGCTACTTTTGCCGAGAACAGCCACCGTCTAATTGAGCGGGAAGTGACTCGATGTGAGCTGTTTTCGCTGAATAGAAGCACCAAGCAGATGTTATCAGAGCTGCTGGATCGCGCCTTGGTAACAGAACAAGAAAATGTTTTGCTCAACCAGCCCGATATACTAGGCCTACTACGTGCGGGGAACAAGGTTGCTTTAGAAAGGCTTTATTCACTCCTTCAACGGAAGGATCTCGGTGCGAAGTTGAAGGCCGCTTTTAGTGGTTATATTATTGAGGAGGGCTCTGGGATCGTCTTTGACGAGGATAAAGAAGCAGACATGGTGGCTCATCTATTAGAATTCAAGCAGCAACTTGACGATATTTGGGTCAATTCTTTCCACCGAAATGAGGAGTTGGGCCATACACTCCGCGAAGCTTTCGAGACGTTCATCAACAAAGGAAGAAAGTCAGAATCTACTGGAGGTACCGACAACCCCAAGACTGGAGAGATGATTGCCAAGTACGTGGACAGGCTCCTCAAGGGTGGGTGGAAGCTTGCACCTGCGCGCAAGGCGGAGGACATGCCACTTGCCGATGAAGACGCCGAAATCGACAGACAACTGGATCAGGTCCTAGACCTGTTCCGTTTTGTCCATGGAAAAGCAGTCTTCGAAGCCTTCTACAAGAATGATCTTGCTCGTCGGTTGCTGATGGGCAGGAGCGCCAGCGACGATGCGGAAAAGAGTATGCTGGCAAGGCTCAAGACAGGTTTGTACAACTCTTGTACTCTGCTTTTCTCAACACGTTACTAATATATGAAATTAGAATGTGGGTCAAGTTTCACACATAATCTGGAGTCCATGTTCAAAGATATGGATGTTGCCCGCGATGAGATGTCGGCATACAGCTCAATACAGCGCGAACGGCGGGACCGTCTACCGGTGGATTTGAACGTCAGCGTGCTTTCGGCATCAGCATGGCCAACATACCCCGATGTTCAGGTGCGGATACCGCCCGAAATTGCGACTGCCGTCGACGATTTCGAAAAGTTCTACAACACCAAATACAACGGGCGCAAGCTCAATTGGAAGCACCAATTGGCACATTGTCAGCTACGCGCAAGGTTTCCCAAGGGAGATAAGGAATTGGTGGTCAGCTCCTTCCAGGCGATCGTGCTGTTGCTCTTCAACGATATCCCGGAGGGGGGAAGCCTCGGGTATGCACAGATACAGGAGGCGACCATGTTATGTTAGTTGCACTGCCTCTCCACGCCCCAAACCTACGCAAGTTGGGCCTCTACTGACAATTGTCGATGCATAGCTGATCAAGAACTGAAACGAACGCTGCAATCGCTCGCATGTGCGAAATACCGTGTTCTAAGCAAGAAGCCGAAGGGCCGGGATGTGAATACGACAGACGAGTTTTCATACAACGCGGCATTCACCGACCCGAAGATGCGAATTAAAATCAACCAAATTCAACTGAAAGAGACGAAGGAAGAGAACAAGACCACGCATGAGCGGGTGGCTGCCGATCGTCACTATGAGACTCAGGCAGCGATTGTGCGAATCATGAAGAGTCGCAAGACGATCACGCACGCTGAGCTTGTCGCTGAGGTTATCAAGGCAACCCGAAGTCGGGGAGTGCTAGAGCCGGCGGATATTAAGAAGAATATTGAGAAGTGAGTTCTCCCAATTTTCAACACCAACATAAAGTATATCGTAACTGACGCAATGCTGTGCAGACTGATTGAGAAAGACTACATGGAGCGCGAGGAAGGGAACCGGTATCAATATGTGGCCTAGTAGATTTTCAGCAGTGTTATGTCGGGTACAAGGGATTGGGGTTCGGACGATGTGGTACTTCGTACAGTGTTGATTTGACAGCTCAGAGACCGTCAGAACGAAATGGCATGATAAAGAATGCACTAAGACAGTCATGTGTCCATTCTGCTTTAGAGGCCTCCCCTTCCTATGCACAGTCGCAGTTAGCTAGCCGTGTAGATACAGAGAGTTGTCGTGGCCCTTTCGGGCGCCGCCTGCTAGTAGCGATGGTCGACACAGTGGTAAGTGGGGTGACCGGAATGTCGGGAGACAAGAGAATGGGGTATCAACTGTAGCTCCGCAGACTAGCAGCATTTTGATCCCTGGCATGGTTGCGGAGCATCGCCGGTCCCACAAGCCTACTTGGGGGACCCAAGGAGGGAGCTTCCATGGGGATCCGTCGGTAGTACGTAGTAAGGTCGTGTGTCGCGAATCTGCAACTCTACTTGCGTGCGTTGTATAGGATCTCTCGGTATAGTTGCCTATTACGAAGACCAACCCCCATTCCTACCGACCGAATTTGGGGGGGAGGAAACTGTTGAGGAGCGGACCGATCTAACGTGCCTCACGTGTACCTACCTTCCTTGTCTGTCTCTACCTAATTAGTAGATAGATGGTAACTAACAGCAGACTAGACTACTTAACCGCTGCAGGATTGGAAACGACTAGAATGTGTAGTGGATAATTGATACAGCAAGGCACATCTAGGACTCTCCACACGTAGGGGTGAGTATGTGGTATGAATCGCAATTGCTGCATTCACTCAAGACTGAATGCTCATCACAGCTTTGAGCCCAAAGAGAGTGTGCAGCTTATCCTTCTCTCGCCCGAGAGACACCCGTCGGGCTCTCGGCAGAGAAAAGCAGAAGCCAGCAATGTGAGGAAAGGCCGAAAAGGGCAATGGAACGGAAGTGTCAGCCCGCGGAAGGTGCAGCAGCTCATCGATGACTGCTCGAGCCGAATCGGGAAGGGGACGAAACGGTCTAGAGCTTCCGGGGGACCCATCCGGCTTACTATCTATGGAGTAAAGTTAGGGGGGGGAAGCCTGGGAACTTTCCATACGCTCACGTGGATGTCTGAGCTTTTCCTTTCCTTCAGGGACACGGCCGATCCATCGCCTATCCATGACCCGGCGACTTTGAAAATGAACTATAGTCATCCTTAGTCCTTACCGTAGATAATCGGAGAAACCTTTCTATTTTCGTTTTCCATTTCTTCCACGTATCAATATCCCGGTTTCCTCTCGATTAAGGAAGGATTGCTGTTTCATACTAAAGATCTGACAGCGGAGAAGTGGTGGCTTGCACAATCTAACTAACCCCCTTCCTTCATGTTTCTTTTTTGGTGTTCATTTTCTGAAGGTCCCATGATCGCTTTTCACTTACTCATCATCTGTTGGGAATTGGTTCTCTGACGATCCGTTGCGCAACCCCCATGCGGCTCGGGTGAGGATGGTCACTTCCATTACTCTCCATTACTGTGTAGCTATTTGCCTTGCACATCATTTGTTGAGAATTTTTGCTCGTACTCCATACATACCTGACCACTTGTTTTATCCTTCGCCCCAAAAATTGGAGTGACTACGTACTACAAAGCACGTAATGTACTACTACCACGACGCCAATTTTGGATGCCTGACTTTCTGCAGCGGTTGCCAGCAACAAAACATGCCGCGACGGATGCCTAAGCGGCGGGCACGGCAGCAGAAAGCAAGCATAGATCATATGCATGCATGTATGCGGTGGTCAGGAATTATATTCCCATGGGCTTTGATATGCAACAACAGATTTATCGAGCTTATAGGATGGGGCTGGACTCATGTAATACTCCAAACTTTACAGGCGGATAATTCATGCCCAGGGTACCTGGTTGAGTTAAGTGGGGTCATGGTCAATGTCTACCTGATGTCCACAGTAAATGGTACTACTATAGTCTACCAGTCATCCAATCCGCTATCAGACATCTTCACGGAATCAAGCATACCCCCCTCGCCATCAAGCAAGGCATGCTTTTGTGCCATGTTTGTGGCGTAGTTAAGCATACCAGGTAGTCAATGCCTACAAATCAAGAATTATCATGATTATCATTATGATTATTTACCCCGCCACTCAGTAGCGCCAATTTTGGAAAATCAATCTACACGGTACTTTGTATTTGTCTTACTTGTGTAGAGGATTGTTTTGTGTCCAGTAAGCTGCAGGTTCTCGAACATCCTTGCGCGTCCCAGCGGCAATCAATGTATCCGGAATAGGAAGGGTTACGCACCCGTGACATCGCCTTCGTTGCGCCCCCTTCCCCCCATTCTGCCCTGCGTGCGCACGGAGTCGACTCTATCTGTTGGTATTACTAAGTAGTAGTAGATTGACGATCTCATACTCGACCCAATGCATCCAGTACCTACTGTATGTACCTAGATGTATGTATGCAGTAACGTATGTATGTGTGTATGTATGTATGTATGTATGTCTCTGTTGGCAAATCTTCTGCAATGATACAGACAATTCGATTATCAATTCTCATCCGCGAACAGCGCTGTTCATCCCACGGGCTCAGTCGATCCCAGAACCATTGGAACTGGAAGAAAGACAACTCAACTCTGGTCAGGTAGATAGTGGATTGAGAGCCGAAGCCGTACCGATAATGATCAGGCCGTCAAGGGAAGATTGTCCAAGAAAATAGGCAGGCGAAGCGGAATTCCCACAGATAGTAAGCCGAAGCATCCGGAAAGTGACACCAGTCACGGCGGGTAATTTTGGCGGGTTCCAGACCCATGGGGTACAGCGCTAAGCCGTAACTGGCTGGGGCGTGGAGTCGATTACAAGCTCGAGGTTGGAAACTAACGACTCTGGATTTCCTTATCCAGAACCGCATGGCCGATGGGTCGGTCATGCGAAAATCAGAGATTGTTCATGTGAGCAGCAAAAAAAAATAATAATATTGGGAATTTTGAGGATCGGTTGGAAAATGGATCAATCAAGTTGCTACTGGTCACCGACTCGACTTACGACATCCTGAAGTACCCCCCAGCACGTCCACGATACTCCGTGTCCGGTTCTTCGTCCTATTTATGTCCAGCTCTCGCACTCGGTCTCTGGGGTCTTCTCATCGCTTTTCCTATACTACTCATATAACAACCTTCTCCTCCCTCAGCAATTGACCCTTCCCGGCTTGCTGTCTGTCCTCCATTCCAATCAGACTTTCCTCCTGTCCTCAGATCCGCTTACCACATCTTCCTCCGTGATCTACAAGGTCATTCCCATACATCTGAGGTTATCCAGCCAATCGACCGATCCCCCACCTGACAAGTGACCGTGAGTGCGACTGACAAATGATAATCCCTTCTTCTTTGCCATTCTCCAGTTTTCTCGATGCACGAAAATCACTGGACTGACAGCTGCCGCTCAAACAGGCGAATCCGACTTCTCCACTTTTTCCCCGCCTTATCCGGATTGTATTCCGAGCCTACGCGCCATCCCCAGAGATTGCCATTGTCTGCTTTGGTACGCTTGAAGCGAATTATCCCGATGCGTGTGAGGAGGGAAACTAACAGGCCAAGGTCATTTAAGAACCGAAGCTCAAGCGATAAAGCGTATATAAAGAGTCGAAGCAGTCGCCTTTCTGGAAAGTCGACCAGCCGCGATCTCAAGTGTTGAATCTATTGCGCTTATACCCGTACTTCGTCGAACCCCACTTTCGAGCCGGATCGTGTTCCTACGCGCCCGCCAAACGTCATACACCATCAAGTCCCCAGTTTTTTGTTGCGATCAACCCTTAGATCTCCCTCCATCATGCAGAGTATGTTCCACACACACCTCTTCTCTGGAGATCTTCTCTTTTTCCTGTTTTCCCTTTGCCCCAGAATTTGTGTCCCTCTGCGTCAGACCATGCAATCCAAGATCCGGTTTCCACAGCCGGCATGAAGTCAGATCTACTCCACAAAATTCACTGGATCAGACACTGTCCGATACATACGCTAACGCGGCCATCAGCCAAACACTTCTTCTCGGACCCTACCCATCTGGTCCAGACCGCCCTGAACTCCCTGACTCTCACAAACCCTTCTCTTGCCTATGACCCCGAAAACAAAATTATTTTCCGTCGTCCGGATACGACTTCAAAGTCCAAGGTCGCGATTGTGTCTGGAGGAGGATCCGGCCATGAGCCTGCCTTTGCCGGCTATGTTGGCAAGGGTTTCCTAGATGCCTCGGCCGCCGGGACCATTTTCGCCTCTCCTTCCGCAGAGCAGATCCGTAAGGCTGTCATGGACTGTGTCGACAACGAGAAGGGTGTCCTCATCATCCCCATGAACTACACTGGTGATGTCCTCAACTTCGGTATGGCTACGGAGAAGGCCCGCGCCGCCGGTATCAAGACTGAATTCTTCGCCATCAACGACGACGTTGGTGTCGGCAAGAAGAAGGGCGGCAAGGTCGGCCGTCGCGGTATTAGTGGTGGTATCCTCATCCTGAAGATCGTCAGCGCGCTGGCCGAAGCTGGGTAAGTTGAGCCCTTTGAAATTGAGAAGCGTAGGCTAAGACGACTGACTGTTTGTACCAGTGGATCTCTCGAGGATGTTTACCGCACCGCTCAGTTGGCAAACAAGAACCTCGTCTCAGTTGGCTCTTCCCTGGAGCACGTCCACGTCCCTGGCAGAGCCCCGCCAACAGACACCATCCCCGATGGTGAGGTCGAGGTCGGCATGGGCATCCACAATGAACCGGGATCTCACCGGGAAAAGTTCGAGCTGACCGAACTGGTCGCTACCATGCTCCTTCAGCTCTTGGACCACAACGATCCCGACCGCGCCTGGATCACTCGCAAGCCCGATGATGACTTTGTGCTGCTGATCAACAACTTGGGTGGTGTGAGCGCTCTCGAACTTTCGGGCATCACCGATGAGGTGTACCGCCAGCTGAACAGAGACTACAACGTTCGGCCCATCCGCGTGATCCAGGGAACCTTCCTCACCAGTCTGAACGGCCTGGGCTTCAGCATTTCTTTGATGAAGCTCGTGGACTCTGGATTGGGCGAGGGCAAGTCCTTCCTTGAACTCCTTGATGCCCCCGCTGAGGCGGTTGGCTGGTCTGCTCCCATCCGTCCTGAGACCTGGGAGCACCGCTCTGATGCTCCTGTTGAGCTGAAGAGGACCAAGATGCCCGAGGATCAGCCCAGCAACGTCAAGTGTGAGTCCCCCGTATCCGGTCGATTATGGCCGCCTGTTCTTTCCGGCTTGAGCTAACGTGACTCTCAGTGGATGTTGATTCCCTCAAGAAGGTCCTGGGCAGTGCACTCAAGCGTGTCATTGCCGCCGAGCCCGAAGTCACCCGCTTCGACACCATCGTCGGAGACGGAGACTGCGGCGTAGGCTTGAAGCGTGGCGCCGAGGCCGTCCTTAAGCTCGTCGAAGACCCCTCGTCTCCGCTCACCGACGATGTCGTGAACGCAGTGAACCGCATCGTCAGCATTGTCGAGAACGTCATGGATGGAACCTCCGGAGCCATCTACGCTATCTTCCTGAACGCCCTGGCCCACGGTCTTCGCGAGCAAGACCGAGGCACCACCACCCCCGCCACGGTGGATGTCTGGGCTGCTGCACTGTCCTACTCCCTCACCGCACTGTCCCGCTACACCCCCGCCCAACCCGGTGACCGTACCCTCCTGGACGCCCTTGTACCCTTCTGCACGCAGCTCCAAAAGGCCAAGGACGTGCACATCGCCGCCAAAGCAGCACAGGAAGGCACCGACTCCACCAAGAACATGAAGGCCAGCCTAGGACGGTCCGTCTACGTCGGCGGCGAAGAAGAATGGGTGGGCAAGATCCCCGACCCCGGCGCTTACGGACTCAGCGTGTTCCTTAATGGTCTGTCTGAGGCGCTGTAAGGGAGTTGGAGAGAGAAAAAATGTCACTTGCAGTTCTTTTCTTTTCTTCGGGGCCAGGGTAAATATATAATTTGCATCCGCTGGTGAGGATATTATGGGTTATTTTCTTGACTCTTCTTATCTTAATATAATTTCATGATGATGAATATGATGATAAATTGGGCGCGTTTTTGCATGTCTGCTTCTTTGTATTTACTGCTTAGCTTTCAGTATTGAATAGTCAGGATCATGGTCGGGTCTATCTATCGTATATCGTATGTTTGCTAAGAATCGATGAATTAGGTACGTGGGTGATAGCGCCACGCAATGGTTTGACATACTTTAGATTTGACAATCCACTACGTCTTTTAGTGGTGTACTCGTACATTGTTTTATCGTGGTATTAACATTCAGAGTATATCCAACCGAGTCAGATACACTTCACAATCCCGGCTAGCACTATCTAGCTCTCGCTCGAGCATCGAGTACAACCCGATTCATCAATGTCCTCCCCCTACTTTTATCAAGCCGAGATACTCCACTTCAGATTCCTTTTTCTAGCTTTAAAAAAACAAAAGAGTCCGGAGAACGCCAAATCTGCCCCCGCCGTAAATCAGAGAGAAGTAACGGTGAATTTGAGATCGGGAAAATAGCAATATATGAAACGAGAAGGAAAAGGAGAGCCAAGGTCCGGATAGGGCTGGATTAATTGGGCGGGGAGGCAGATTGTACGTGATGATGTAATCTAACATCCCGTCCAATCCCGCAAGTATCGCACGACTAAAAGGGTATCGTTCATTCGTCTGTGTCAACTAGAAATCGTCTCCGTCGGATTTCAGCTCGATCAGAGAGAAGCCAAGCCCGGACCGGCCCAGGACCGTTCGAGAAGGGAAATGAGCGCATCATGTGAACAGAGTTCAGCTGAGCAGGACGAGGATGACGGAGTCACCACGGAGGAACCTACGATAAAAGATTGGGTTAGGATTGTTTCTGGCGAGGGGAGAGGGTGAGTGTAGGTAATGGCGATGCTTACATCTTGCTGATGAAGCGATCCTTGTTAACACCCTTGCCGCTACCACCCTTGGGCTTCTCGGTCCACGTCTCCTTGACGTTCTCCAGAACCATGTTGCAGTGGCGGTCGAAGGCCTTGACACGGGCGAGGAGCTTGCGGTTGTTCCGGCATGAGATCAGGACCTGGGTGTGTGTGCGCGTAGCGGTTTGGAGAAGGGACAAAGGACCGGCAGTGAGCTCATGTTCCTCGACGAGGGAGACCTCGTATTCACTGAATGAGGGGGCAGGTTAGCGAATGGACGGCGATGATGGGTTGGTAGATAGATAGATATGATGTGGCGCGATGAGAATTAGGCGCGCGGGACACTATCCGGATATGATGGGTTGTGGTGGGCATGGGTAGTTGGACTGATAGATGTGCAAAGGATTGGGCATCATGTGATAGGAACACGGGAATAGAAAGCTTTGATAAAAGCCGGAAAGAAGAGGAGGGGTTCGATAACGTACGTGAGCTCGCTCTTAGGCTTGTTGAGCAGGTCCCTAATGAATTGCAAGACAAGGTTAGCAATGAGGTCCGGCAGGTTGAGGAGCGGATTACACCATGACAAGAGCTAATGACTCATCGGGATGTAAAGGAGGGTAGGAAAAGAGGGGTCATTACTGGATCTTGGGATCGGTCGACATGGTGGGCGCGAGTATAAATATGGGGTGGAAGGTGCCGGTGCAGAGGAGGACAGCAGGGACAGGCTTGAACTTGATCGGGGACGACTTGAGAGCATCTCAATCCGCAGCTTCTGTTCTGGAAGCCTGGCTTTGCGCGGGTGCTGTCACGTGCCACGCGTGTTTGCCGTGTTTGAGCGGCGGAAATAGCCGAGCGCGCGATTGGCTGGGCGTCACGTCGCGTCCGACACGCTCGGATGCGCTCTCGTCCAAGCTTCATCACTTCTTCAAATGCAAGGCGTCTGCGCTTTTTCTCTCCTTCCACCCTCACCTCTGTCCCTCCTCCTTTTTCCCTCTTCCTCCCAACTCGTCGGCCTGTGGTTAAAGGGAGCAACCTTCAGTGCCTCAAATTGATTTAATCTCTTTCTCTCTGTCTCTCTTCCTCTCTCTCTCTTCTAAACCTCCTTCTCTCTCCCATGCCTCAGGTTTCTCACCGCACCCTCTCCTCCTTTCGTTGCTCCGTGTCCCGCGTTGGCATTCCACAGGCTCTTTCCCCGCGACCTCCGTTGCATAGTACATCCACGCCTCGGCATTCCCCTGGCTGACGCTCCCGCCAATTGGGCCTTTCTGAGTGGTCGATAACGCTAGACGCATATCAAACGATATTATTGCTATCCTACCTTGCTTCGATTTTCAACGGTCGATCTCTTGAACCCTGTTATTCCGGGTTACACCTTCGATACTCCCTTTTCGAATTAACTTCCGAGCAACCCGGGTGCAACCCTTTTCTCTTTTTCCTCTCTCCGAAGCCTTACAGCCCTCTTCATTCTACACTTTGGTTTTGTGATCCAGCATATGATTGATTTCCTTCATCTGGTGGCATGGACTCTCAGGACGGGATTTCCGTCCGGCCTATGAGGCGTAAGTAATTTTTATTTTCCGTTGTGGTGTCAAGTATGTTCGATACTAATTGTGTGGCTCCGGAACTTGCAGTGAAGGTGCTCTACACGTTCGATGATGCCAACAGGACAAATTGCCTGGCCCGATGGCCCCATCTTCTCGACATTCAGACTGCTGCCCTCGATGAGAAGACACAAATCGGTGTCATCGAATTGAAGACCTGCATTCAAGCCATTGTTTCGGCAAGGTGAGTGCTTTCGCCAAAGGGTCAACCGACACTACGTGGATACTTATTGCAATGGTTTCATGTGATAGTCCGGAACTAGTTGCCAAACTTGGACAGGATTACACGGTGTACGCCTACGACTACTCCGAATATGAGACGCCCCTCGTCGGACAAGGGATGCTATCATGGGTGTTGGCTTCGGCTTCCCCGACCCCCGATGCACCAGCACATCAGTCGGAAACTATGGTTACCGGTCGTGTCTGCAAGAATGTTCTAGGTTTATTCTCGAAAGGTGCACAGGAAACATTGGAGGTTAAATTGCGATTGGTCCCTGTTCCCACGGTCATGCAGAGCGAGTACCTGGACAGCATGCAGAGATATCGCGAACTGAGCAATGTCATTCCCCACGATTTCGACGCACAGGCCTGGACAAATTTTCTTCGCCAAAACCCCGGTCTGCTGGGCCCCCGTCCTCAACAACCCGACCGCACGGCATCGCCTGTGGACCATGCCGGAATTGAGCGGTTCCATCGCCTCCTAAGTGAAGGCTCAACGCCAAGGGAGCTGCCCTCAATTGCCGCCAATGGGTCTGTTCGCTCGGTGTCACCCGCACAGTCTGTGCTTGGTCATGCAAGCAGGATGTCCACCCCTGGCTGCCAGCCATTCGCGCAGCAGCAAGAGCAAATACAGGAAAGATCCCACACCGATGTCATTCGCCCCACCTCGAGTGCTTCCATGCGCGAGTCCGATCTCCCAATGCATGCGAGATATGCCAGCCGCAGAGGATCCATGCAGTCCGGCTACGGTAGTGGTGATGAATCTTCGGAACAGCAACCCCGGAAGAGAGCCAAGCTGTATCGTGCGGACTGGCCCGGCAAGTCGGATTTGAACATTGAAAGGCAACCCAGCTCCCTTCGTGTGGCCGCAAGCACTGCTGCGTCCGTGCGTATTCATCGCCCTACCCCCGTCAACCCCTCAATCGCTGCTGCTCAGAGCTCAAATGAGGAGCCTGTTCGGCCGCCAACTCCGATCTCTAATGCGAATGAACTGCCTCGCCGCGCCCGCCCCCGGCCCAGCCTCTTGCGTGAGCCGTCGATGCAGAGCACTCCTCAGTACACATCACCATACACTGCGGCCGATGATCATCCGGGTGACAATAATACCCAGTCGCCGGAGGAGTCCCGCTACCAAGGCATTTTTGAGCCCTCATTCAATATGCCGTCTTCGCCTCCCGTTCTCGACTGCGGATTCCCGAACCGATCCAGTCCAGTTCTCCCGCCCATGGCCACTGACCCGGATTCGGGCTTCATGAGTGGGGGTATGGACGATCTCCTTGATGAGGATATCGGTACGCCCCTGGAGGATTGCTCGAGGGCCAACGATGCAGCTCGGGGGAAACGAAGCGTGCGTCCTGCTGTGCCAGCGAGCTCACCTGTTGGGCCCATGAACCATGATACTTATCCCGCCAGCGACGCCCTGCCTGATCAGTCTGCCAAGGACAAAATATCTGCAATTCCTCGTGCTCCAGCTAGTACTGCGGGGTCGCGGCCATCGTCTCGTGCCGGTATCAGACAAACTCCTAAGCCTCTCGCGCCCGCTCCCATGTCGCAAAGCGAATTGGAGCAGCTGATGAGTGCTATCCCGGCAAGTGATCCGGTAATGCCCACCCATGTGCATATGCCCAACACGCAATCCTGGAATGGACCGATGAGTGACTTTTCAGTCGCGGAAACGCCCGCCCCTCCACCCCCTACTGAGGACGGCAAGGTTCGCAGTGGTGCTGGTGCGAGACGAGTGCGGCAGGTTCAAGCACGTCTTGCCCAGTGCATTCGGGACGGACAGGCTCCTCCTTATTGTGAAAATTGCGGCTCGATCGAGACCCCTACCTGGCGTAGGGCATGGTCCAAGGAGATCGATGGTACTGAAGAAGAGGCCATTGAACTCGTCAAAGATTCTGCGATGTTGTTCTGGCAAGCCGTGGATCGCGATGACCAAGAAAAGGTCACCAAATTCAAGATCTACAAGAAGAGCCTAGTGGATACCGATAAGGACTTTGTTCAAGTCCTACTCTGCAATCGTAAGTAAACTCCAGTCAGTTTGTTCGTTACAGCCCGCTAATAACATTCTAGCCTGTGGCCTTTGGCTCCACAAGTTCAAGTGCATGCGGCCAGAAAACAAGTGGAACAATAAATCCGGCAACAATAAGAGAAAGCGTCCTCCCAGGAACCGCAAGGGCGGCGGTCCGCTGTCCGGTAACCCTCCGTCGGCGAGAAACCGCGTCAGGGCTGAAGCCGGAAAGCCCGATGCCTCGTCACCCGGTGTATCTGATGCATCCTCACCCCCAGTGGACGATGGCACTACCCCCCGTGGTGATAACGAGAACGAGAACGAGAACAATGAAAACAACGATAATGAGCCGAGCAATGTGCAGGACAATGATGATGTTCAGGAGCTCCCAGCCAAGCGACGCCGCGCAAACAGCCTGGAACCGCGCAAATCAACCGATACTGCGGGAAGCCGTTGGCACGAGAATGATCCAGTGGAAGCCCTCCGAGCAGCGATCCAGTCTAGTCCAGCTAGAAATCTTGAGCACCGCAATGCTTCTGCTGCGGGTGAGAATGCTCTTACTCCTAAGTCTGTGAGAAGAGTGCTTTTTCCTAATTCGCACAATGAGGGCGGGCCGTTGCGAGCCTTAGGTGACTCCACCTTGAACAGCCCTCGGCGAAGCCCTCGTGTAACTGGCGGATCGGACAAGCGATCTGACGACAAGGAGAATCAGGCATCTGCTGACCTGAACGGCCTCTTCGAGAGTCCCGAGTTTGACTTTGACCTGCCTACCAGCCCCACTCCTCGGCGTCGCAATCCCCGCGCGAGCATTCTGGGCGAGAAGCGGCACTCCCTTCCCGGCGATTCGCCTTCGCGGACCCGGAAGGGACTGGGCAGCGATGCGACGCCCACCAGGGTCACTGCGCAAAGACTTCAGCGGATTCAAAGCAGCCCGGGGCCAGTATCGCGCCACAGCAAAACGCCTAAGCAGTCACGCACGCAGGGCCTTGGGCTTCCCGCTTTGGCAGATGATGCCTTCAGCACGGACGCCTTTAGCGGAATAGACAACATGATTGTGGACATCTTCTCGGACGCACCTTCTGCCAATGCGGACGCGCTTTTCGCACTTGATGCGAACAAGGGCAATTGGCCTGACTGGATCCCTTCGGACTATGTGTCTCCCACGGGAACTGATGGCGAGCCAGCTGGTGAAGACTCCCAGGATCTCATCAATGCGCTGCTGTCTGATCCGGACCTTCAAAAGAACCCCCAATTCGATATTTTCAACTACGTTGACAACAACGTCCTGGACTCTGGCTTCTTCAGTTCCGACGCACTCAACGCCGACAGCTTAGCCCTGGGTGTAAAAGAGAAAGCGTCTGAAGAGGCAGCCAAGGACAAGGAACCCAAGACTACAAATGATGCTTAATGAGTCTCCTTTTTTGTTATGATGATGCCGACTTTCTCTTGATATTTCTTTACATTCTGAGTTCTATTTTTTCTAGCGATGGCGTTGGATGGATAGGCAATGGTGATGTGCCATCTGCCGCTACAGTCTTTCTTTGGGGATAACATAAGGCTATGATATGCTTTTGTTGGAAGTGGTTCGAATTGGATGGATATTACGGAATGGAAACTTGGGAGGATTGAAGGATTAGAATAAGATACCAGCACTCGTTGCTTACACAATAAATGAATATGAATAATAATTAACAAGCTGTGTTTACTATACTAGACCGTAAAATCGATCGTATATCGTTTTGATATTCACATATTGTAAATCAACCCAACGCCAAAGAATAACCCGAATACGACGCAAATGACACCTCAACTGCAGCACATATAAGGTGGATACTCGTAGTCACCCATCACAGCAAGGTATCTCACGGCAGCTCAACAAGTGCTCCTAAGACCATCCACTAACCCATTCATTTTGTACCACATCCTCCCTAATAGCCCACTCACTCATCATAAAAGATAGGCTTGAGCTTATGCGTAGCATTGACGACCTGTTCATAGATCGTGTAATCTGTAGCCACATCAACAACCACAATTAGCACCTTTTTCCTCTACCCCTTCTCCATAATCCATAAGAAAAGAAGAAAACCTACCGCAATCCGCGGGACTCCCCCAATCCGTACTTCCCAGGACTCTAATACCCACGCCCTACACGCCAGATAACCAAAATTAGCCATTATCCTACCCAAGAACAACCCCTCGTTTATAGCGGGGAAAGATTAAGGTATTGAAACATACACTCCCATTATCCAGATCCGCCACCTTCCCAATAATCTCCACCAACTTGCCCATCTGCAAATGCGAATCGGGCTTCAAGATGAGCGTCACATCGCCGTGGTTTCCGCACGTCATAGTCGCCGTGTCGCCACGCAAAGCAGTCACTGTTCCTAGGATGCGGACGGTATGGGAGGTGCGTGGGCCGGCGGAGGAGGGGTGGAAGGCGTGGAGGTGGGAGGGGAGGATGCGGGGAGTTTGGAGGGACATATTTATTTCTTTATTCTCTTTCTGTTTGTTGTTGTGTTGGAAGTTGGGGGTTGGTTTATATGCTGTTTCTCGTTTGGTAAGGGAGGGTATAGTGATCAGGAGGGGTAAGTAATGGTGGGATTGATATTGATATAGTTTATGGTAATTGCTAGATAGTAGTAGATGGGATACGCGGCGCGCGTGGACGCGTAGTCATGTGATTATCTGTAAGCTTCCTCTGGATCCCAAAGTCCGTCCCGATTGAAGGCGGAGAGAGAGAGAGAGCTAAGTATGGACTCCGACTCCGGTAATTCTTTTTTTCTACAGAGTAATTTCAGAACAACGCCACGCGCTTCACTTCTACTTCGATCTCGCTGCTAAAGAGAGAATATAGTTTGCAGCGCATTTTGTTATTTATCCCTTATTGAAGAAATTGATATCACCACTACGCAATGCCACCTCCCCTCCCCTCCCAACATCGCGGCATGACCGCAAACCCCGTCCGACCAAGCAGATACCGACCCGGCAAAGCCATCGCAGAGGAGCCCTCCTCGTCCGAAGAAGAGGATGAAGATGAACAAGAAGCTAAAAAGGAAGCCGAGCGACAGAGACAGCAGGAACGGCGCAGACTCGAACAACAGCGACGACAAGCTCCCAAGGCGAGCTCGTTTCCTGCGGGCGCGGCGAAGATTGCTCGGGGTGTGAAGGATGTGAAGATCGAGGAGGAAGAAGCAGATGAGGATGAAGAGGGGTTTGTGACGGAGGAGGAAGAGGAAGAAGAAGAAGAGGCCAAGCCTGCGAAGGCGGCTGCTCCTGTTGCTGGCGACAGGGTGGCTGCTCCGGCGCGGACGGCTACGGTGAAGGAGATATCGGAAGAAGAGGAGGATGAAGAGGAAGAGGAAGAGAGTTCTGAAGAAGAAAGCAGTTCCGAAGACGAGGCTCCGCGCAGAGTGCTTTTACGACCTACGTTCATCAAGAAAGACAAGCGCAACAACGCCCCCGGTCAAACACAGAACGGCCAAGCTGCGTCAGGCACAGTGGTGGATACTTCAGCCGAGACAGAGGCGCGTCGGATTCAGCGACAGGAGAAAGCAGACGCCTTGATTCGGGAACAACTAGAGAAAGACGCCATTGCGCGGAGCGAGGCGAATCGGGCGTGGGATGACGACGAGCTTGAGGTGGGCGAAGAAGGAGCAATCGATGATACCGATGGAAAGGATCCAGAAGCGGAGTACGCAGCATGGAAGCTACGAGAACTGAAGCGCATCAAGCGCGAGCGTGAAGCGATCGAGGCTGCAGAGAAGGAGCGAGAAGAAGTCGAGCGGCGCAGGAATCTCACTGCCGAGGAGCGCGATCGCGAAGACCGCGAATACCTCGCCAAGCAGGAGGAAGAGAAGGAGGCTAATCGCGGCCAGGCCGGGTACATGCAGCGGTACTTCCATAAGGGCGCGTTTTTCAGCGAAGACATGCAGCGCGAGGGACTTGCTCAGAGGAATATCATGGGTGCGAAGTTTGTGGACGATGTCTCGCGGGAGACTCTGCCCCAGTACATGCAGATCCGTGATATGACGAAGCTTGGAAAGAAGGGACGCACGCGCTATAGGGATCTGAAATCAGAGGACACAGGTCGTTTTGGCGAAGGGTTCCAGAACAGGTCTCGTCATCGCGATGGTGGAGCTCCCATAGGCATTACCGATGAGCGATTCATGCCTGATCGTGACCGTGATGAAAGACCCAAGGGACCCACTGGGGCTAATGCCTCTGTTGTGCGCGAGAGACGGAGGTCTAGGTCACGATCATACTCGCCGCGACGAGAGCGTCGCGATCGTTCAGCAGACCGGTATAGGCCCGATACAAGCAGTCGCAGGAAACGGAGCCCATCACCTTACGAAGATCGGGAGAAACGGAGGCGCGTGAGTGTTTCGCCAGAACGGTGAAAGAGAAGCATGCAAATAGGGACATAAGGACATTCTATTTCTAATCGGCGTTCGTTGGGAAATCTTGAGATCAAGGATGGATTAGGGTCATGATCGATGCATTTTAGGACGGATGTTCCAATCTTCCTGGCCTCCTAGGAGAATAGACTACACCTGCATGTTCGTTCAGTGGACGAACAGCAAAGTAAATACCAGATGTCTTGCTTGTTGCACATACAAGACACATATGTCCATGTCCGCGCGGACTCATCGCACTCACATCCTCGGCATGCTGCTGGCGACTGTCGCATATGAACCGTACCTCTTCCAGCACCCAAACAGCCTAGCCCACAACACCACACGTCACGAGAACCCGTTCGCATTCTATAATACTGAAACAGAATCGCTGCATAAAAAACAAAGGCCGATCATACACCGTAGAGCCAATGGATAAATCAATCTCATCCCATTTATTTATTTAACGCCAGCCCTCTCCAAAACCTTCTCCCTCTCCATAACGCTCTCCCCAAAGCGCAACAAGAATATCGTCCTCCCAGGCCACATCTCCGTGGGCTGATTATGAGCGGTGACCTTAGCCTCGAAGCCACACCCATCGCAAACACCCTCAATAATACCCGCGACGAAAGCCGCGCAATTAAGCATGCTCATTTCCTTCGGCACACTGATATATGTATTAACGAGGGGATCATTATCCGTAATCATATATTCATTAGGCGTCTCGGGAGAGACAGAGTGCTCGAGGGCATCGGCAGGACGATTAAAGAGAAGGCGCCAGAGGGGACCGTGGATGAGATGAAGGAGGGGAAGGATGCGGAGGGGTCGATTCGGAGGCGAGGAAGAAGTCGAGGAGGAACTGGATAGAGCGGAGGAAGTGGAACTGGACATGGTGCGGTAGAAGAGGAGGTCGAGGAGTCGGAGACCTAGGGGGTAGCCTTGTTCGTTCAATCTGCACCATTATCACTCATCAGTATGTGAACGGGAGGGTGGAAGCAAGCAGAGTAAAAGTCCCATACCGTCGTTCTAAATCTTGAATCCCTGTTACTCGTCTCTGAGCATAAGTCACCATCTCCGCGAACAGAAAGGCGAAGCTAGCCCGGCTGAGCTCCGCATTGCGGCTGCGGTTCAGGTGTCGGTCATAGATGGTTTTGCGGTTTGACGGCACGCGCAGGCCCTGGCTTGATTGGGATTGCGTGTGGATGTGCTGTGCTGGTTGCTGTCTGTCGGCTGATGCTGCCGCGGGGAGGTTTGGGCCGCTGTTGCTAATGGATAGCATCGCGGCGTGGCGGGCGGGTTGCGCCATGTTGATGGTGTGTGGTTGGTAGGTATTCAGGGTGGGTTGTGATGGATGACGGGAGTATTGGTTCACGCTGAGCTAGTCGGTCATTCTGGTGGGTTTTAATTTCGAAGATCAGGCGAAATGCTCATGCTGGTTCATAGGTGTAGGGGTGGAATTGAATAGTCGACAGGAGTGAGCGAAGCTGTTGATAGATGTCCCTCCAGTAGGCGGCATGGGGGAATCTACGGGGAGGCAGGGGTGCAGTCATGCAGTTTCGGCGATGGCCTCAGGTGCATGGAATTAGGCTTAATTGAGCCGCATGCAATGACAGGAATCTATTGGGTCGTGTCAAATAGGAATTTGAAGGACTTTACTCTACTGTCCGTGGATTATACAATCGTACTACTAAGAACTTTATGGAAGGAAAGAAGTAATCTCTGATCAAACAAAATATCCATTGCGAATAAATCTAAATAATCCCTAGGCAAGAATTGACGAAGTCTCAAGTTGCCCTTCCTCTCCTTGTGATATCAAGGCCTCTGTAAGGGCAGTCCAAAGCTATTAAAGCTACTGGGTAGAATAATCTGTTCTAAGCAAGCAATATTAGCATACGCTCGCGGCAAAACCAATGGTGTTCAAAATCAAAAGATTGACGACCAAGTCAGACATCCAAGGAAGTATTGCGCACAGAGCCGTCTATGATGGGTTCATGGCGACGACTAGCGTGGAAACTGCGAATGTAGGAAAAGTTTTCATCATAAGAAGCCTTCGCCGAAGCGAAGGCTCCGGTCGTGTTGGGCAGGACGAAGAAAGAAAAAAAGTTGTAGAACTTACCAAGTTAGTCGCACAACGCGATTGGTGTGAGAGAGAAAGTAAATGTCGCTACTGAGCGCTATAGCACTCGATGGGAATCATCATAAAATTCCAATCGACTAGATTGGTCGTCTGGGAGAGTTTCAACAAATTGTTGAAGTGCGAGAAAAGAAAGAAAAATTTCGGTGCGGGAAGACCCTTTTATAGTCGGCCTCAGGCTGCCCGGGAAACCCGCCGACCCATACGAAGCTTCTAGAGAGGCCGAAAATTCATCACCAGCCTCCGCTACGAAAGAAATCGAATGTTCGATTTCTCGCCAAGTTTAGCGCATTATATTGAATAGGAGATGGTTCTCCTTTTTCATGCCACATATGTTCATATTCAAGTTTATGGCAGTGTGCATAAAATCCTGTATTTGGTAATATCGTATATCGAATCGTAAACATGTCCATAATTCTCTTTGCATAGCCAGCAAGACCCTTATCTATTGCGCTTCGCCTCATCCACCGGGTCGAGACTCTTCTGCCTCTGTCTGGAGTTCCAATTCAGTGTCTTTGATATAGTGTGCACCCAATCGTCTCCACGTCGACCCCGGGGTAGAACATTCGCGAATGGATATCGCGATGCGGAAACCGTCACATAATCGCCAGGGTGTAATTCAATCCTGGGTCCAAATTAGCCATAACCAAATAGATATACACACACCTCGTCAGCGTAACTCACCTCTCCCGGCCATCAAAGCTGGCCCATGAGCTCGCCCGAGCATCGTAAGGTACTCCCATACGGAGAACAATTGTATCTGGTAGGATTATAGGCCGGAAGGAGAGCGTATGAGCGCAGATTGCAGTGACGAGAATGACAGGGTTATCTGGGTGAGATAGTGACCCTCCAGCCGCGAGGTTATACGCTGTCGAGCCTGTTGGTGTCGCTATACAGACACCATCGGCAAGCAGCGTTGTGAAATGTTCATCGTCGCCAATCAATTCGATCGAGGACATGGCTATATAAGCAATTAGCAAGCATCTCCATGAGATAAGGTGGAAACGAGGACATACTAGGATTCGGCCCTCTATCAAGAACAACATCATTCAATATCTGAAGCACCTTATCCGGTCTATGCGTTAACGTATCATCACCTTCTTCCCCTATTAACTCCTCGACCAAATCCCGTTTCACACCAGGGGCCGATGAGCCCTTGGGTAACGGATTGCTCCTCATAATTGTGCACTCAAACCGTAACCGTAGATTGACGACCACGCCATCCTTAAACGCAGCCGACAGCGTCTTCTGGTATTCATTGAAGTCAAACTTGGTCAAGAAGCCCAACGATCCAAGCGAGAACGACAACACCGGCGGCACCACATGCTGGAACAGCCAACTCGTAAACAGAACAGTGCCGTCCCCTCCAAGCGTAACCACGAAATCAAACAAATGAGCCCTCTCCGCCGCCAGCTCATGATCCCAGTACTTCAGTCGACTTTTCGCCGACGGCTCCTCCCTCAATATCTCTGCTGCACCGAACTCCGGATCCGTCTCCAGCCGTTTCTCCACATACACATTATATTGTGTATCACGGTCCCTCGACAAAAGCCACCTGGCGACCTCCCTCGTCGACCCGATCACCGACTGGTCGCCCGCCTTGGTAACCAGAAACACCGTCTTGACCGTGAGTTTCAATTTGATACTGTCCAGCTTCTTGGATAGTTTGCGCACATTCCACGCCATATCGGATAGCTGCTTCTTCGTCAGGTGTCGCGACTGCATCATTTCCTTTTCCATCTCATCTTCGTCGTCCCCAAGCGCTTCTTCTTCTCCATCTCCTTCTTGAAGCTTGGTCCCCTTCAATACCCCCTCTAACACCTTCACTTTGCTCGTCGGGTCGCCCCATTCCCCTGCTATCAACGAGTGCACGAAACACGCCGTCGTCTGGTCGGCATGCGAGAGATTAGGTCTCGTCATGGGATCGTCCACCATGACGAGGGAGGATTTGCGTCGATGGCTGCATTCAGGTTGGAGGACGACCTAGCAGGATATACGAGGGCTTGGGTTAGCTAGTCACTCGTTCACTGCGAGACTTCAGAAATCATACCTCGAGCTGGTTGTGTGTATCTGAAGAATAACCGTCCGTTTCGCCGCGACTCTTTTGACTATGTCAGCTTCGTTCTGCGTCGGTTATGTTATGGGTGGAATTTGCTCGACAACCTACGTGACCGTCGCGGTGTGATGCTGGCTCCTCCTCTCCAGTCATGGTGCGTGTGCGTGTGTGTATGTTTGGGGAGGGATTGTATGTGTTCTCAAATAGTTCGATTCACACTGATCGTGATGACGCTATTGCGTGGTCGTCATTGTAAAGGTTGGTGTGGGTTGATGAGAGGTCGCAAACGGTGAAAGAAAGGCGGCGGGTATGACGTCGTTGCCGGTTTGGCGGTCATGGTGCATGAATTCGGAGTTGATGTGTATGGAGCTGGTATAGGTGTTTGAGGTGGTGAAATCCGGTGATGAGGCTGTTAACGAGACATTCGCATGAAGTTTGGGATTTAACAGGGCTTATTGCGATGGTTTGGTGGTGATTACTCGTGTGGTTTATTGCCTGTGATCATCCTGTCACGATAGATATATATTTTTGGCAGTTGTGACGGGTTAGGATATACCCAACATCATCTGCCCATTCCACATGACAACGAAGATGGCATTGAGTCCTCAGATCTCATACCAGTAGTAGTAATTTGTGTAACTACATTCTCTACGATCATAATGCAATACACAAGCAAATACTAATCATCTCAATATTCCACAGCAATATGTCTTCTGTTCAATTCAAGTAGAATACAGCCGAAGCATACTATTCGACCATGTCCCACCAACAACCAAACACCAAACACCAAACTTCATAGTAAAAAAGAAATAGTTATACAGTGACACAAACATCCCAGGCGCTAGTTACGCAATAAACAAAGGTTCAACCTCAGCTTTTCGACATCGATTTCAATTCCCGATGATAAGCGAACTCAACGCGCGTTACACAGATCGACCCCATGCATCACCATATGCACAACCATGACTACTCCTAGATATCACCATGTACCCAACACAGCATTCATGTTCCACATGTACCAAGTGAGGCAAACTAGCTGAGCAGCTAGGGGAGATCCGATCAGCTCGGAGAGTTGCCTTCAATGTTTTCTAGAAGGTCTATGAAATCAATAGTTTCGTTCGGTGATATAATTAGAAATCTGGACCGGCAGAGGAAACGTAGCACCGATACTCCGTAAGTAGACTACTCCGTAGATAGGCATCAATCAGTTCGGGGAGTTTCGCATATAGTCCCAGTTCATTGCGGGACGGACGCGAATGTCTAAAAGTGGCTTTTTGCTTCGCAAAGTAGACTACTGTAAGCTCGATAAGTGCAGAATGACAAGTATAGACATTTGGATCATTATGGGGGTTGTGGAGACTGTTTACGAGGAGTGACACGTCCAAATTATTGACAAGTACGAAGTAAACGAGGGGAGTTGTAGGTCTAGTTTCACTGCAAGTGGATGATGATACAGGATTGTCAATGAGAAGGAACAGTCAAGATGTCATGAGGCAGCAAAGTGGGAAGGAGGATGCATGCGTGGCACATGAGACAAGCGGACAACAGACTTTCTTAGCTGGCTTTGGGAAGTGGTTATTTTTTTTTTCTTTGGGGCGCAATAAAAATACAAGACAGTGGGACACAGTAACTAACTGAATCCAGTAGTCATCGGGGTTAGGTTCAATAACTCATAATCCACGCCCCGAGGCCAGTTCGATCTAGGCGCGTTAGCAGCGGGCCATAGCCATGGTCACTTAAGAGTCACAACAATCCCAAGTCGCCGAGGCTAAATTAGGGAGCAATAAAGTGAGGTGATCAGCCCTTGGAACAACCGGCACACACAACAACAACGTGCCATGTTTGCCAGCCACCGAATAATCCGGGCTCCACTGCCCTATATGTAATAATAATAATAACAACCACCACCACATAACACCAGCAACAACAAACCTCCCGACAATCCCGCGGATCCCGTTTCTGCCCCTCTTCATGTATTTACGGTTTGCGAGGATTTAATGAATTGGATGGGGATGGACATTGCTAATCGATAGGCACACACACACCGTCACGGCGATGACTTGCCGTGTTCCAAAACTTGTTTTGCACATCCTCCCGAACTTTGCACACGGTTGCAGTACGTGTAGATTACGGCAAGGGAACTTTTGTCTTTTCGTTTTCATTTCATCCTTATCCAGACCAGACGTCGATGAGAAGTCCAGCCTTGAGCCACAGACGCCGAAGGATACCCCGGATGATGCAAGAGACAATCAGAGAAAACTTCCACTGCCGAGAGAAGGTATCGACTATTGGGGCGGGACGAATAGTCAGCCATGTGGCTTTCCGAGCTCCAGTCATGGCCGGAACTCATATTGTCGTCCATACATCATCAATCATTGCAGGCCCAGGTCTCCATCAAGTGGAAGGGAACCATACTTTCTCGGTCCTTGAGTAGACAGTTAGTCCGCTAACCATTTCCCTACTCGGCCGAGCATGGAAATCCGTCTACGTAAAAGGTTAATCAAGAAACCGGAGAATAACTAATAACCAAGGCCGCTTTAGTCCGAGAAAATCTTTTTAGGAGACTTGAACAATTTGCGGGCGGCCTCAACGCATGCCTCCATTGGGAATGGAGGGATTATCGCCAACAGTTTACCTTTTTCGAGGGGAGGGTCAATCTGCATACCGCCACAACACTCATCCAGCTGGCTTTGACTTATTCCGTAAGGCCATGATGATACCAAGCCCCCGAGAAGGAAAGGATTATTCTTTCTTTAACAGATCCATAGTCAGGTAGCGTCTGTTTGACAGAATCCTGGACGCGTTATTTGCTCGAGAGAATTGAACTAGATTGACCCACCAACGGTCAGACATCGCTCGACAATACTTCATTGGTAGTAGCGATGCTGGTGAATTGTGGCAATACCCGCTGTTTGCCGATTAGCATCATGCAAAGGAGGCCACTAAGGTGCGAGGGGGAAGGGGGAAATCCGGATGAGGAGCGTGATGAGCGGATAGACAGCACAAGTAAGAATTAAATTGAAAAGGGAAGAGGAAAATTTGAGAGACCAGCTAATTTCCTTTCGTTCGGGGCAAATTTGGCTGCGGCAAATCGGGTACGTACCCCACTTATGGATCTGCCGTGAGTCCGTGACAAGTGCAGCAGCAACCAGCAACCAGCAACAAGTCGGGAATCTCAGCCACCGCCGATGAATAATCCCTAATATTGGGAAATCCTGGGAACTTAATGAACGGAGAAAGGTCGCTGTCTCGCGCTGACTGGTTTGCCAGTTCCAGTAATCCCCCCCCATCAGTGGACCGCTGACTATCATTGACCGCAACTGGGTCACGGTGCAGTCGGGCCTGGTGCGATTTACCGCCGATCTTCTAATAGTGAGTCTGTCAACCGGGTTATCTTTGCTGGTCAGCCCCTCTTAAGTAGTATGGAGTATCGGGTGTAGTATTAGTAGTAGTAGTTCTTTGCTTCGCTTCGCGTTGAAATGGGGATTGGGTCAGTGTTTCAGTGAATAGCATTATCCTGTTTGGTGGGTTTCCCTCCAGCACACCGCGGTGATGGTGGAGGTGGAGGAGAGTGCATCGCTGCCTGGATCTGATTGCCAGGGGTAGTGAAACGACCCAAGGCGCTTTCGTATCCCTAGACCACATCAGGCATCGTGCCCTTTGCATCTGCGGAGACCCTTTCGAGGGGCAACAATGATGGAAAGATGATGCTGGTCCGGCGCACAGTACTATTATGTACAAGCCCCTCTCGTAGCGTCATAGGCTGAAGCAGCCGCCGGAAAGCCTTGCTACTAAAGTAGGCGATATGTGATGAGCGCAGCGCTATCATTTCGGCAGACTCACTGGTGCAAGGACGGTCATGTGGTTCCATTGCCTTTATTTTTATTTTTCTTATTTTTTATTTTTTTTCCTTTGCGAGATGCAAGTCCGCCTCTTCGCAGAGTCCATCCAATTCCCTGCCTGCATCCAAAATGCATGCCTGACACCGTCACATCTGGCCTTGCGGTGGTGGCCTGACGGCTATACCTGATTCGGGCGGTATGGTATGGTAAGCATCGGCCTCTCCCACCCCTCCTCCTCCTCACTTGCCCACTTTCATACACTAAGATTATGTACTACTGCTGCTCCTATGCTCTGGGTAGAATGTAACCGCCAGGCTGACGACGGACTTCGACCAATGCTAGTGGCATGAGGCATTGAATCCAAACCTGTTGTAGTGTGTAGTAATCATAGCGTTCCAGACCCCAGTCCACTTTATACTACATCCAGGATTCTTGCCTCTTCCTTACTGGTTGGCTGACACGTAGGACAAACCTAAGCACAGGCCACATTCTGTGTGATACCTCCCCCCTCCCTTCAGATCTGAACGATGCAAGAATCCAGAATGCTGCAGTATCTGCCGAAATATGTGGTGGCAGCTGAAGATACATACGTACAGTAGGTGCCTACCTCGCATCGGCATTGCCAGCACGTCTGCCTACAGCAGATTATGCATGGTCCTCCATGTTTTATGACGAGATCTGGTTTGTTGTGTAACTCGCCGCTGCCCAGCCATACTCCACCTTATCACTCATACTATTGTTGTCTGCTGCATTTGGAGACGAAAGATTGAGCCCAAACATGCCCCATCATTGGCCGGATTGACAGCGCCCTATTTTGGTTCCCATGCATGCATGCATGGACCTACTGGCGGTATATGTATGTACGCCATTTTGACTCATGGCCACCTGCAGATGCCTCCCGTAGGAGCCTTGATTAGTTGTAGATAGACTAGTGAGTAGGGGAAAAGACTCGCGGCTGACGGCCCGCGGAATGGTATTCGCAGGATTGAAAGCAGCCTGGAAAACGTCTTGTCTAGAAAAAAAAAAACTCCAGAACATCAAGGCTCATACTCCGTATTCCGCCTCGACTGCTTAGGTCTCGGACTGCTCCGTATTATGTCGCAACTTGCGTGTCGTTTCCGGTCGTCAAATGGCAGATGCAGCTTACATATGACCCACTTGGGTGGTGGTTTTGGGCCTTCTCGTCCAGGCTCCTCTCTACCTACGTAAGTAACTATGTAGGAGGGTTTCCGACTCTGCCGCGCGATCTGCTTGCGAGCTCAGACATAATAGTGGCGTCGGTGAGGGCACGCGGTCAATCACCGTCTGCTAGTAACTCTATCGTTGACGTTGATTGATGCCCGCGGAGACGAAAAGCTTTGCGAGACCCGTATCAACAACTGTGCCAGGGTGGGTTATGTGGTCGGCCAGGACAATCAGGACAAATCACACAGTCCAGGTGACGGCGGTATCTGGAATGCCGTGTCACATCCACCCTGCGCCGATGGCTTGATTTCACGGTCGGTTGCAGCCTGGCGCTCCAGCTCCAGCTCCCGTTCTAAAGTAGGCGAAGTAAGGTGCTAGTTACTGTTGGCAAGATCGCATCAGGAAGCATGGCTAGAGGACGATTGTATGAAGGAGGCTTGGAGCCCCTGATAGCACAGCAGCGCATGTAAGCACTTTCGACGGCGACCAATGACGGTCAGGCGCTGCTGCTATGCTAGAAAATGCTAGTATCCAAGCCGGGGAGAGAGAGAGAGAGAGAGAGTCGGCTTTTTCCTTTCCTACGGCGGTATAACACAATTTTAGTTATCTAGGGGCTGGTGAATCAATGACATGCCACTAGAATAAGCCAAAATTTAAATTAGCGTCCAATGTGTTCCATTTTCCATTGTTGAGAAAGACCACTTTGAACGCTCGGGCCTAACCATGGTCTGATGACACGTTAATCCTCAGGCCGTACTCCGTAGTTAGTGACTTAATGAGCGAAGGCGGCGAGAGCAGGATGAGAACAGCCGAGAGAGTGAGACGAATCCTGACATGCTAGCGAGGAGTGGCTTCGGAAAAAGAAAGCTAAGATTTGAAGGCGCGTTGCGAGTTGATCACTGGCTTGGAACTAATCAAGTAGTTGGTTGATCGCTACTCCGTTCTTGGATGACTTTCTCCGAAGCAAACTAACTAAACTAAGTGCTGCTTACTTTGGGCCTGTCTCGGACGGCGACCGCCATTTCGCTTACTTGGTTGCTGGAACGAGCGGCATACATTCAGCTAGGCGTCTGAATTTCTGATGGGGAAGCTAGGGTGCTATGCAGGCGCGACCATGGCCCCTGACGGATGGGCCCCATTGTCTATCATTATTACTGTGTATTATTATTATCGTTATTATTATTTAGTCCATGTTCGTCCCATCGTAATCACGTTTAGCCCAAACCATCACTTTCTCCGCAGTCATCCGTCGTTTTCACTAAATTGTGGACGTTGCTTTTTGCTTTCTCTTGGCCCCATCACTCACACTGCAGGAAAGGCAAGGGGCCAAGAAAACACCACAATTAAAGAAGTCCAGCTAGTCTACTAAATAGATACATTAATACCCATAAAGCAGCCAACCTAAACCTTGCAAGTGGCTTAGGACGGTAAGACCGGCGCGTTGGGGGATTGTGTCCTACTAAGAGGTTTTACTTTTAGTCCTGATATCACGAGCCGAAGCCCTTGACTCATGTTGTAGTATCACTCCTAACGCCTTTCGTAATTGATCCGTGGCGCCATAATGATAGCGTGTGAACAGAGACACCTTATATTGAGTTCTAACTTTCTGATATCCCAGGGATGCGCGGGTCCCGCCGGGAGGGCGCATCGCTTCGTGATCTTTTAGCCTTTCGCTCAATTATTAGCTAATGACATGTTAGCCGAACCTTGCTACCTGTTAGAATTAGATACCATATCGGTGGCAGCAGAGGGCACGAGCTGTCGAGTCTATCCGATTGTTGAAAATCACCCCTGAGATAGTCTGCCTGAGAGGAATGGTGGCTGATGTTCATCCCTGCACCCTTGTATACTAGGAGGTGGACAAGTCCGAAAGTCAAGGCGTCGAGCACATCACGCACGCAGGATGTACAGTAAGTTAGGCAGGCACTCGGTGTTGTGTAGTCCTTACGGCGTACCCCCGTGAGGGATCATCATCACCACCCCTGGCAAGGTAATCCAGCATACCCCAAATGAGTGATCCATTCTCAACCAGTATAGTATGGTATAGTATAGTATAGTAGTAGTATACTGTTGAAGCTTCGTTGGTTGTAACCTATCAGATCAGCAATAACGGGGTTTTATTGGCTGTCGAAAAGCGCCGTTTGCGAGCCTCGGCTGGTTGGACGGCGTGTAGAGCACCACTTAGAGCAGACGACCGGTAGGTAACGAACAGATCCTGGACCTCGCAAGCTACTAGACTAAAGCTAGGCTGAGTGGTTACCGTAGTACCATACAAAGCTAGCTGGTAGCTTACCTGACCTTCCTGCTCCCTGATAGGATCCCTGTTCAGCACAGTTTGACTCCGTATTCCCGTAGAAACGGAGATATGGGAGTCTGACCCACTTGGTCTGGGAAACATCTTTTATTTTTTTCTTTTTCCTCCTTTTTTTTTTTTTTTCTCTCCTTCCCCTTCCTTTTTTGATATATTGAATGATTGGAAAAATTTTTTTTTTCTTTTTTCCCGCCCCCTCCCTTTCCATTTTTGCCTCCCGTTTCCATTCATTGCATAACCCAATTGAGGGCTGATTTGGCCCCCAGGCCTTCTGGAATTTTGTTCGACTGGCCTCCATCTTACGGTTTCCAGTTTCCCAAGTCCCCTGCCGTCAGGTGGGCCTGCACATGCATTCCGATGCTTCCCCTCCTGTAATCTCCGGCTTCTGATTTGTAGGGCGAGCAGACGATGATCTCAACCATCTGATTAGTCGCTTTTTCGAAGATGTATCTTGATTAGTGGTGATTGTACCCGCTTAAGGCGTCGCACGGAGGTTTTTTTCTCGAGTTCGTTACCCTTTCGATCTGGCCTGCCACGCATCTGGCGCGGTTCTAGCACAATGGAAGGCTATCCGCCTCCCCGAACAGCCGGGTTCTGAACAGGGACAAGCATTCGCTGTTGTTTTCCCATATTATGTTATGTTGTGTCATTTTATCTGATTTTTTGTTGATACTCTTGCCAATTCTCCTCGAATGAGTGCCCCGTTAGCAAACCTCATTTGAGGGCGTCAGAGGGATTAGAACGGCGTGACGGATGCAGTGCCACAAATCCCGATCGTCAGGCTGTCGTATATGTAAAGTGAGCCCCGGTGGCCGGAGCACGGTGGCCACATTATTGCTCTTACGGGGAGAACGTTAGTTGGATACATCCATACAGTAGTTACTTTACTTCATCCAGATTGGGTCCCTTTCTGGCTTCCTCTTTAGTGTTTCTTTTTCCTTGTTCTCTTGCGCCCCCCCTTCTTTGGCCCTATGCAGGTTTAGGCACATTCGGCTTTTCTCAGGACCAATTTCAAGGCGGCCGAGGAGACAAGAAGGAGGAGGGGCGCATGTAACTCTGACCCAAAGACGCACTAACAGTGACTCGGGCTCAGCCTTCAGGTACTTACTTAGGCTTCTCGAGGGGGCCACGGGGACTAACCGGAGTGGGTAGGGCTCTGCTTTTAGTCGGTCTTGCTCCGGTAGTATCCCTGGTTCTGGAAATGGTCCCCATGTCAATGGAATAATCCTCCGCCCCGGCTTCCTTTGTCGATTACATATGATGGGGGGCATTAGCGCTCCAGGCGGAACCCATCTGCTGTACGATGTACCTCTCTTCCTGGTGCAGCTGGACTCGTCAAAAATGCATTTATTGGCACCAGCCCACTCCATCCCAGATAAGCTAGACAGCCAGCCTGACCTGTGGAGTCTCTTGATACCGAGCGGTGTTTCCCTCCCTCTCTCACTCTCTCACTGCCTCTTGCGACTTGCGTGTTGTAGTAGCAAAGTAGGAGTGCACACCCCACTCTTCTCCGGCCTTGAGCAAATTCTGTTTCTGAGTGCTCCGTACTCTCCGTATAACGCCCCTCTCTCCGATCCCTGAACCCAGTCCAAGTGTTGTCATTTCTAGCCGAACTTTCCGTTTCCTATCCCCTCTTGGCCCCCCCACTACACCGAGAGGTGGTCCGTACGGCAAAGTAGGCTTCCACCGTTCAGCCACCCAGCCAGCTGATCTAATCCGGCTCGTCACACGTATGGTTATGAAACATGTGATCCACAACGAAATAGATTGACCAGCAACAGGAAATTGATAAGCAAGAATAACGATCGGGATTCGGAACATACAGTTACTTGATCGTTGTACGGATACTATGGTTGGAGAAGTCTATAACCTGTCCTGGTGCCAAGGTGAAGAGGCAATCTTGGCCTCTTGTGCACGCATGAAGTATGGAGTAGCACGGCGGTTTGACCAATGAGTTGCTCATAGCAATCAATGATCATCAGCTCGAGACAAGAGGTTCACCGAGTCAGGCCTGGTGGGTTAGTCCATATTAGTTCTGGGCTAGTAATCTACCAGTGGTTGCAAGTATGTGTGATAACGGTGATACCTCCCACCCCAACGCGGTTGGACAGCAATAGAAGCACAAGCACCCAAGGATTTAGAAAGGATGGTCGGCGGGATGATGGGATGTGCGCCCGGGGATGCCGAAGGACGAGGATGACGATGACAAGGAATGGGACGGAAGGCAGCTTCTTCGACCATCCGCATGCTCCTTTCTGTCCCTTGTCGCGATCTATCGCCAGGCTGGAAGAGGATGCGATACGACGGCTACCGAATTAGATTGTTGCTTGCTATGTGGATGGATGGTTGGATGGATGAATGTAAGTTATGTGCCTAGCTGCTGAGGTCGCCGGGTAGAGAACAGGCCCAGGCCTGCTTCCGATGTACAGTAGATACGTACTCCGGACAGGGGAAGCAAGTCTGCCCTTGGAAACTTTCCGCATTATTGTAACCCTTGCGTAACGGGCGTTGTGACGCGTTGGAAACGGTGAACTTGTGGGGACAAGACTGGGCTTGAAGGGGTTACTTAACGAGGGAGGAGACGAAGGAGGAGTGGGTGGGGAAGGGGGAGAAGAGGAGCAGAGGAGGAGGAGGGGGGCAAATGGTGCCTAGTTAGTAGGTGACTATGTAATACGGATAAGGAAGAATCATCCTTTAGTTAGAAACAGAAACAGAAACAGAAACAGAAACAGAAACAGAAACAGAAACAGAAACAGAAACAGAACAGATGGAATGGAACGGAAAGAGACTTGGGAGAGAGTGTTTGGCCGCAGGGTTGACGATCGGGTCGGATCGTGGGTCATTTGCCAGGCCAATATTACCGCTTCACCGCGGGCATTCCCATCATGACTAAGACCGTCGAAGGGAGTTGCGAGTGTATTACGATTTGGGTCCGGCCATCCATCCATCCATGCATGTATGTATAGAGGGGGGAAGACTGGTTGCACAGAGTCCTCTTTTGCCTACTACATAACTTACCTGCCTATTAGAGAGATACATAGTTACCCCTGGTACAGCGTGACTAATAGATCGCAAAATTCTCCCAGGCACCGCACGAAGGGCCATGGCACGGCTGCGTCATCGAGAAGGGGAGAGAGGGGAATTAATCTAAACACACCGGCAGTAGTTTAGTGCTACCTTTTTCTTGCTTTTGATGGGGCGGCGCTCTGTGAAGTATCATACAATCATACAGTGTAGTACCTAGTCTCAGCAGACCGACTTGACTACTAAGTAAGCACCAAGTCGCACTTAAGTCATGAATGTAACTGATCACCATACCTGTCTGTCGCATGTATAACCAAAGACACCCGAGCACAACTATAACTACTGCATTATTACCGAAATAGCACGTACTCCGTAGTATCTATCCGACAGGGAGGACAGGGAAATCAATCAGAATGCAGCCAGCGGGTGGGCACCTTGGCTGGTATGGTATGGTAAGAAGAAGAAAAGGATGCAGGAAGACGCAGTAATTCCCAAAAAAAGTTCCCAGTTTAGCCCCAGACTTCCCATGGGGCTCTCACACGGGCCTTACTACTGTGCGTCGTATCTAGTGGAAAGTTTAGTTTAGTTTACTTTTAGTTTAGTTTCGGCATGTCCCAGGCAAAGTCAAGGTCAAGTCAGTCACTCAGTCAAGTCAGTCAGTCGTCACTCACTACTCATTTCGGCTTGGAAAGAGAAGAGACGGAGGGGGCATGAGAGGGCCCGGCCATTTTCTGGTTCCTTCTTTAAGTTCCATCCATGATCTTTGCTGCCTTTCCCTGGACTGGAGCTCCGATTTCAGTTTCCCATCCAATCACTTGCCGCCCTGCCGCATCTCCCTCGTTTTCCTCTTGACCCTCTGTTCCATACTTTTCCCCTCCCGGTGGACTGCAAGTCCATCAAATTCTTTTGCCAATGGGTCTGATCATCCCCACCATCGACATTATTATCCATTCCCCCATCGTCACCCGCCGTTAGCCACTAACCAGCCCCAATCCCATGGGCCCAGGGCAGTCCAGAAGTCTTTTGCCAGCACAGTGTCAGAGCCAGGAATTGATTGCCCGCTTCGCAGGTCCCAGAGAGAGTCCTTTCGGAGTGGAGACAGCATTCGTGTGGCATGGGCTCATCTGAATCATCTTCATCATCATCAACCAACCTTCCTTGGGTCGGTCCCCTTCCTTCCTTTCCAATTCCTCCCCTTCCTGGTACCTAGACTAGACTCAGTCCTCCTAGTCTGAGCCCCCCCTTCTGCTCCTCCTGTCCCATCGTCCCATGTCTTGCCCTGTTCGGTTCCCACCAACTAGTCTGCTTTCGTTAGTGTCAACGTCGTGTCATCCCAACATGTGCCCGCTCCCACTAACCCATTAGTCTTCTTACTTACAGTAATGGATCGTGGAACTGGGGCGGATGGTAGATCAAGAAATGCCCATGTACATGCGTCCCACATCTCCGTGTATCACCCTCCTGTAGGGCCTTCCTTTTTCTTATTTTATTTTTTCCTTCTCCATCTACTATTAATTTATTAATATTATTTTTTGTTTTTTGATTTCATCTCCCCTTTTTTATTAGCCTTTCTTTACTTTTTTAGACTCGCTCCTACTTTACTCTTTACCGCATAATCTACTACTCATCCCGAACCATCTGGGTCCATTACTCGACTAGGCACTGGGCTTGCTACTTACTTAGTACCGCACGCACTTACTGTACCTTGCCTCCACGCCTTGTGACCCTCACGCCCCCCTGTGTCATCTTTAGATGATAAGTCTCGAACCCCAGTCTTCGGAGATCCTTTACATATTCCTGCAGTCATCATCCACGGATCCTATCCGTGCTTGATACTCCATATAATCTAACCACCGCCCTATCCCACCATTTCGTCTCACCCTACTATTACTATGTATGCTTATATCGCACACCTCCCTCCTCATACTTTCAATTGACCACCCACCTCCTCTCAGTCCTATCTTTCATACCAAAGCCTTTTCTCTCTCAACATCTTACCACCTTCTCAATGGCCGACTACTGGCAACCCCAGTCGTCCTTTGCGAACCCTAACTGGGTTCAAGGCAACCAGTCTTGCTGGCGCTCCTCAACATTTCGTGACTTGATTCATGCTTTCCCAAAACCCAAGCGGACGGGTCGAGTGATGAAGCCCCGCAGCGCTGGGAATAGTCCTTCGTCTGCCGGCAGACGGCGCACAGCAACCATCCCTTACAGTTCGCCCATGTACCAAGGCTACCAGGCTCCCGTCAACACTGCCTTTGTGGCCTCTGCACTTGCCCGAACTGGCCAAAACCGTCCCACAAGTTGGCATCCGGCTTTGGAGCCTGTTAGCTATCCAACTGCCCAGTATGTGCCAGCAACCACGGCGTTGGATAACTTTGCCGCCATTGGCGTGTGCCCTCAGCCACTGCCCACTGCTCCTGCCACCTTCGACAACTCTTCCATGTTGCCGTCCTACACCCCGGCAGATATGCCATGCTCGGATCTAGGGTTCCCTCCCCTCCCCGACGCACAGCATCAGATGTCGCTTCAACAGTCTACCTTGCTCCAGATGAACGACTCGCAGGCTGAGCCTGTCTCTTGGGACGCCAATGCATCTACCTTGTCAATGGCAGAACCTATGTCTGACTGCTACTCCTTCGACATGTCATCTATGCATAACAACATTCCTCCAGTCTACGTCGCAGGTTCGAGTTACGAGAGTGTACCGTCCTCGGGCTGCTTGACTGGGCCTCCTACGCCCGACTTTCTACCTATTCAGCGGCCTGACGACGACCTGCATTCGCAGGTAGAGCCCTTGCCAGAGAAGCAGCATGAGGACGAGCTTGTTGGTATGGGTCTTTACAGCAACCCGGAGGCTTCGTTGGGAAACTCGCTCTTAGGGCTTTCTGGCAAGGGACTTAAGTTGGAGGAGACTTTCACCCCGTCTTCCGACAATGAAGCCGAAGACCAGGAGGATGATGAGGACCAGGACGATGACGACGACGATGATGACGAACAAAATCAGGAGGAGAGCCCCGTCAACAGCAAGGGCACCGACTTAAACCCTAAGCAGTCGGAAGCTGAGACTTTTCAACAACCGATCAAAGCACCTGGAAACATGATGCAAAGATCCTTTTTCTTTGATGACGACGACCTCGAGCAGCATGCCGTGGTCGATTCCCAGCCATTCATTAACATGGCCAGCCAACCCTGTATGAATTATGGATATGGATGGATTTGATTCCTACACTGTCGCGTTTACTGCCTCTGATTATTGCTCTTTTCGGTTTTCGGGCTACAGCATTGCATAGCGTGGAGTTATTGTTTTCGGGAGGCGTTTCATTTAGCATACAGTACAGGATACCCAGGGAGGATTGGTCGAACTTGAAATGTATGTATTAGACCAGTGAATATAACAACTACAAGACTATCTTGATAAACACACATTGCACCAAACATGAACAAACTGCGTAGCCCACACAGTAGAGAGTACAAAGTTGTAAGGTAGTTTCAAGAACGAATCAACGCAGCCGAACCGATAGAGAGTCGCATCGGCGGGAACAACCTTATTCCGGGCGAACAAAATCACTGTCGACGAAGATGTACAGTCTGGCCCCGGCCAGTGCAGGGAGGCGAAATCATCGCAGTTGATATTGCTAACCCGATTAAAATAAAATGGCGAAGGTCATTTTTACACCATGGAAGGAGCACTCGCAATTACTCGCGGTGCGGAGTCAATTCTACCCTGCACCGTTTTATGATGGGCCCGACATGCGCTCCAAGGCCTGCGCCACTGTATGCGAAAAGGCACCCTGAAATAATATAGCTATCTTTACTTGACCCTAACATGAATTACAGGTCGCGGCTTGGAAGTTACGAGGAAATTTGCCACATCCAGTCGAGGCCACGGCCTTGCTAACGGATGCTATCCTTCATGATGATGCCCTGAAAAATTCCATCTTTTCTATTCGGGCTACGTACTCGGCTGCGTTCTGTCGGTATGACTATCTGCTTTGTTCATCGATTACATGATTACGCAACAAGTGTAACGATCACTAACGCCAATTAGATTCGTGACGGGGCTCGTCGACTCCAAGCTGAACGGGCAGCGTAAAACCATGTTCCAACGAGCCATTGATTTGGGCCTACCGGCCTCATTTGTGGAACTGCGTCACGAGGCGACGCATCGTGAACTGCCTTCTCTAACAGTGCTGCGCAATGCCACGCAGCGGTCCCTTGAGTGGCTGTGGGACTACTACTGGGCCAAGACTGACCTGAGTGCTGATATGATGCCTGTGTCGGAACCTGAGGCATTTGACGGCGCTGAAGATGACGTCGAGCCCATCAAGGCGGCCTTAAGAACTGAATTCGAGCACTTACTGGCTGAAGAAGATTCGTCAGAACCGCCGCGGAAGAAGAGGAGGTTCCAGCAGAACGTCTCGTCTACGTCTACGCATTTGGTCTCGATATGCAAGTCTTCCAGTCGTGGGGCGTCTGCGCTAGCAGGCGTGATCGTGGAGGACTCGGTGTTGGTTCCTGCTGGACGGAAGTAAGTTTTCTCTATATTCTGATCGTGTATGAACATCTATAAGCTGACTTGATACAGGATGGGTGATTCCATGACGGCCATGTTCGCTAAGTGGGATTCCTTATTGCAGATGCTTGCGGAGGGCCATCCCCCGGTCCTGGCATCGCTGACGGAGGAGATGGTGAATGTACTGGCATTTTCAGGCTCAAAGAACGTGAAAAGCGACCCTCAGCTCGAAGGATTGTACATGTGGCTGGACCATATACTTCAATCGCCGGAATGGGGGTCTCGAAGACGACTACTGTCCCACGCATACCTTCTTGCCGTTTGCGAGCAGAGTTCCAATCACTGGACGACGCTTCTTAAGGAAAGCTTACAGCAGAGGACGGACGATTTAGCACCTAGCAAGCAGTCGTCCACGTCAAAGAAACAGTCGAAGAAGGACGGATCTGGTCTCAAGCGGACTGCAGATGCCGACGATTTGAAAGAATTGAAGAAATTCGGATGGGAAACGGTAGATACGTGGGATACGCGACCGTTAGGGATAGCATAGACAGCGGATACGATTTCAACCAAAACCATGCTGTGCAACGGCTCGAATGCCCAGCGTAAAGCAACTCCTGTTCACTCCCAACAAGACCCCAGTAGCATCTAAGTAGCATCTAACAATCTCTTGAAGGACAAGGGGAAACTGTCACGACCGAAAGCAGCCTAGCGTCTACGCCACATGTGGCTGAGCCTCCGCGGAACGAGCCTATGAGGTAATCGCCAAAAGACTGCTTACACAGTTAGTAAGTATGGCGCAGGTGGCATAGCTTAGCTCTTAGCAATCAATGTTACCACCACCCCCGCATTCATTCCAAAAAGTTCAAGCACAAGCACTTTCGCTATTCCCTTATACTTATCCATGTGCCTCGCCAGAGCTGTCTGGTCTTCCGTGAGGTTTCAACCCGTGAGAGCGCAAGCGCAACAAATCAGAGCCATGCATGTACAGTCGATCCCGATGTGTAAGTAGTTCCATTAACTTAATGAATAAACATTTGAGACGTGCCCCCAAGGTACTTGCTTAACATTACTTCCTGGGATATCATTTGCTAACGAAATTGTTGTGCCAGGGACCGGGAAGGGCAATAATTATGCCTACCTGGTCACGGATGAACCGACTAAGGAGTCTGTTATTATTGACCCGGCTAATCCGCCTGAGTATGTTATTGTTTGCTAGTTCGTCAAGAGATGGCTTGCAAAGATAAGTTGTGCTAAGATTTTCCAGGGTGGCCCCGACGCTGAAATCTCAGATCGACGCCGGGAAGATCAAGCTTACATCTATTGTGAACACTCATCAGTAAGTGTTTTTCATGGAATTTATGCCGATGCTAACTATGCCAGTCACTGGGATCACGCCGGTGGTAATAATGAAATTGTAAGTTACACGATATACAATGACATCTCTCGAAACTAACTGAAAAAAGCTGAAAACCTTTGGCCAACTTTCCGTCATTGGCGGCAAGAACTGCCAATCCGTCACCAAGACCCCGGCACACGGCGAAGTCTTCAAGATCGGAGAGCGCATCTCCGTCAAGGCGCTGCACACGCCCTGCCACACGCAGGACAGCATCTGCTACTTCATGCAGGATGGAGATGACAAGGTCGTCTTCACCGGTGATACTTTGTTTATCGGAGGTGAGCTTGGCTACTGCGTGAGCGCATTCGGGACCAGACTAATGGGCTACAGGATGTGGCCGGTTCTTCGAGGGCACGGCCCCTGAGATGCACAAGGCCTTAAACGAGACTCTGGCTGCGCTGCCAGATGATACTAAGGTTTACGTGAGTTGTTCGGTGTGACCCTTATTAGCATTTACTGATGCTTTGCAGCCTGGACATGAATACACCAAGGGCAACGTCAAGTTCTGCCTTGCCGTGTCCCAGTCTGAGCCCATCAAGAAACTAGAGGCATTCGCCAACGCGAACCAAGAAACCCAGGGCAAGTTCACGATTGGCGATGAGAAGGTTTGTTCTACCTCTTATGTTGTTGGTTTGAGACTGACAAGGTACAGCTTCATAACGTGTTCATGCGCGTCAACGTGAGTCTCCACCCCTTATTTTGGACGAGAGATCCAGCTAATATGTTACAGGACCCCGAGATCCAGAAGAAGACTGGCAAGACCGACCCAGTGGAGGTTATGGCGGCGCTGAGAGAGATGAAGAACAATATGTAACTTAGCCAATTTCTGGACCATATCACATTGCAGTAGCATAAGAATGAATATGAATCCACAAGTCCAGAATACCCCAAACCTAGCTCAGAAGCTCGTAGTCAGCCATTGAGATAACAATGACATTCCTCGTATACATATAACCCATCACCAAAACGATCATCGTGACGTCAGATGCAACTTCAGATAAAAGTAGTATAGAAACCCATCCTCACCCTCAATGCCAACTACCAACCAAACTACTTCCCTAATATACCTCACTTCTCATATTCGTTTACGAAAAAATGACCACCGAAACAACCGACGGCCTCCCCGGCACCGCCAAAACCACCAAAAGCCAAGTCCTCGAGGCCGGCGCCAGCGCCATCCAAGACTTCACGCCCGTGAAGCACATCTGCGCCCACCTGAACGCATTCCACGTCTACGCCTCAGACAAGACGCGCTGCGTGGAAGCAAACCACTACTGTTCTCACATCACAGAAGGTATACCCTCCCTCCCCCCTCCTTTCATCCCTAAACACATACATACTCACACACCCCGCCTCAACATTTATAGATCTAAGACAATGCCTCCTCTATGACAGCACCGCGCCCAACGCGCGCCTGCTAGGCATCGAATACATGATCACGCCCAAACTCTTCGCGACGCTACCCGCCGAAGAGAAGAAACTCTGGCACACGCATGTCTACGAAGTCAGCAGCGGGATGCTAATTATGCCAGCGCCGGCGATGGTTCCCAATGCCGTATGGGAAGCAGCCGAGACGGCGGAAATGAAGGATATTGTGCCGTTGTATGGCAAGACGTATCATTTCTGGCAGGTAGATCGGGGAGACCCGGTGCCGATGGGGGCGCCGGAGTTGATGGCGAGTTTTACGAGTGAGGAGAGGGTCAAGCTGGCTTGTCCCGGGGGATTGGGGGAGTTGGTGAAAGGGAGGGATGAGAGGTTTGGGACGGATTACAGGGCGAAGGCGGAGAAGAGGAAGGGGCTTGAGAAGGAGAGTGAAGGGAAGATGATTGAGGGTGAGTTTATCCCTTTCTATTTGTTTCTTTGTTGGGTTGGGTATGTGTGCTAATCGGTGTATAGGTGCGGATGGGATGTGGGAGGATTGAGCTAGGATCTTATGACATGATGTTGGCTACGTATGAAGATAATGATATCAAGGTGATATAATATGATTCTGCACTGAACTATCAACAACTACGATTTGTAGGTATAGATGTGTCCCATCGGTACCACCCAGTTTTCCATTCCCATAATAAAATGGGGTCCAAGCCGGGCTATCGTTCAGGGAATCCCACCATCAAGTGATGAGATGTATATTCATCTTGCTTCACTGTCCACACTCACGCGCTCTGGTGTTTAATTTCGGCAGCGGTGAGCTCTAGCGATTTTAGAAGCGAATAATAGCAGAAACATAACGCAACAAAAAAAACAACAGTAACAATAAATAGCAATGAGATGAGATAAATCCAATTAGCTGCATTAAGCAATCAGATCATCATCATCATAGACATAGCATAATCAATCAATCGACCATATCGATCAATTGAAAGTTTGCCGTTGGCGTTGGCGTTGTATCGCTCACAAAATATCTCAGGAAGAGAAAAAATTCCTCCCGCACAAAACCCTTTATATACCCTCTCTCCACCGACCCAATCACATGACCTACCACCTCCGAAGCTCTCCGCCGTCATACCAAGCAAACCAAACTAGTTTCCATACAAATCGCAATAATAACCTAACAAACGAATTGAACGACTACCATGCCCCCAAACCCCATATCCCAATAACACCAATCACAAAGAAAAACACAAGAATTTACAAAAATGGACCGCTTCCTCCGCTACACACTAAAACGCAGCACCCCGGGCCATCTATTCCGCTTCGGCCTCAACAGCCTGGGAGTGTTTTGCGCATGCACACTAATCTGGGAACACCTGATCACTGTCCAACTGAGCGAAGGACCATCGATGTACCCGACTTTCAGTCCGCGAGGCGACTACCTTCTCATATCGCGAGTACACAAGCACGGCCGGGGGATTCAGGTCGGCGACGTGGTGCGGTTCTATCATCCGACGTTTTTGGGGGTGAATGGGGCGAAGAGGGTCATTGGGTTGCCGGGGGATTTTGTGTGTAGGGATTTGCCGTTTAGTAGGGAGGTTGGTGGGGAGGGGGAGATGATTAGGGTATGTTAATCTTCCTTTTCTTTTGCTTTCGAATTGAGGGTTGGGGTTGGGGTTAAGCTAATGTGGTTTGTGGTTGGTTGCAGGTTCCTGAAGGGCATGTCTATCTTGCTGGGGATAATTTGCCGTGGTCGAGGGATTCCAGGAATTATGGCCCTATACCGATGGCGCTTATAAATGGGAAGATCATCGCGCGGGTGTGGCCGTTGCATAAGTTTGAGTGGGTGAAGAATACGTTGGAGACGGCGGATTTGCCGGAGTGAATATTGTATCATATGTGCTTGTTGGATAAAAGGGGGATAGATAGATAACCTTCAGGTATACGGCATGGGAGTCTGGAGTTGGTGGAATTTGTGCATATTCATACATCTTCTCTTGTACAATACAAATCTAAGGCCAAAAAAAGTTGAACAGAAGGAAAAAGAGGCTGGTTTACCGGAACGTGGATGGGTTTCTTCTCTTGTAAGGAAGAGGCTCGACCCGCTTCCGACGGAGCTCCATGTTCGCCTCGGGGAAGCCAATCTGCTTCATCACCTCATACGTCGTCTCGTCCCATTGCGTGCGGAACAGGTGCGCGCCAATCGCCTTCAGGTGGTACCGGGCCTGCAGGGTGCGGGGCAGCAGGTTCTCGCGGTTCGTCTCCTTCGCCTTGACGGCAGCAAAGTCCAATGGCTTGGAGTCCTTCTGTTCGAGAATGAACAGAGACAGTCGGTGGTAGGGGCTTCCCTTTTGAGCTACAGGGGGCTCCCAGGGCAGGACAACCTGCGACTCAGCCGACAGCTGGGCCAGGTCGACCTTGGTGTTCGTGGCCGAGATGGGGACGTTGACAGCCAGGTAGTGCATCTTGAAATCGAATCCATCCTTCTCAACGTTGGGAACATCGGAGTCGACCACGGCGATGGTGACGAGCTTCTCGCCGCCCTCGAAGAGCTGCACGTCAAGTTTAGGTGCCGTCGTGCTGACCTTGGCGTTGACGTATTCTCCAGGCTGTACCTGGCTGCGGTTGAAGTAGAGCTTGGTGTCCACGATAGGATCGCAGTGAGGAAGGACGTCGGGAATCACCTTCATTTGCGTGATTCTTTGGACGAGGATCTTGCGACGGTATTCCCTCCATTTCCGATCGGCCAGGTAGCGGTAGATGGGCTTGCTGAGGTCACCTAGACGAGGTCGGTTAGGATGCGGTGATGAAGGCAATTTGTAGAATGTGTTGTCTCACCTTGCCCATCCTCAAACTTCTTCTTGACCAGCGGGTCGTTGACATCCGCAAGGATCTTGAGGTGCTCCAGATGGAGCTCCATGGCCCGGAGCTTGGATTTCTTGACCTGCAAGCCGCCGGCCTCCTCGGTAGGAAGGGCCTGAAGTCTGGCAATCTTCTCGCTCATCGACTGGATATCGCGCACCTTCTCTTCCCGGTCTGCGATCAAAACCTTGCGTGCCTCCTGGAAACATTGGAAGGGAAGCTGCTCGAAGGGAATGTTGGATGAGCCCTGGAGGGCAGCTCGACGTCGACGAGATCCGACGGGGGCGATTCCCTGGCGTAACAATCTCCGTTCCAGCCGGGGACTCGTTACTAGGGCCGGATCAGGCGCCTTGTGGAAGGGAGCGCTCTTGGCCTCAGTCTGGGCTTCCTCGCGAGCCAGAGCGGTGGACTGAAAGGCGCGGGTGGACTGTAGCTGGAGGCCTGGAAGACCCTTTGTGTAGGTCTTCTGCAGGCATTGGAGCAGGGGCTTGGAGGCCCGCTCGCAATGAGCCATGGCGAGACGAGTGACTGGGGGAGGACGGGGGGATAAAGTGGTGGAGTGGTAGGAAGAGATTCCCCAGGTTAGTCGGGAAGTCGAAGTCGAGGTTCCTGGCCGGACGGAACTTTTTTCGTCGGGTTGGCCAAGCCTCAGGCGGCTAGCGCCAGACCACCCGAACTTTTGCTACTCCTCCTCCACAGCATCACCGAGATCCCTCCCCCATCCAGGCTACCTTCCGGGGTTTAATCACACTCTTCCAAACGCAATGCCTGGAAGTGACGCTCTTCGCGCACTCAAGTTGCTCTCTCGCAGCTCCGGGGGTCTCCTCTCGGGCGCTGAGACGACCACGGTAAGACCGACGTTTTTCGATTCCGCTGCTAGTCTTTTGCACATGGCCGAATGCAAGATACTGACCATTGATGCCTCGATCTTATAGCAACGATGCCTGGCGAAGACTTTCTCCCGCTCGATGGCCACCGAGGCCCAGTCTCCCGTTGACAACCTCACGAGGGAGGTTCCTAAGCCCGTGTGGAATCCCGAACCCGTCAAGGCGACACTCTACTCATTTCCCTCGATGGAGCCCCTGCGCTTCGTTGAGTATCCTCGCAACCACCTCCTGATGCCGCTACGCAAAGACATTCTGCACCGAGCCGTCGTCTACGAGGGTGACATGACCCGACAAGGTACCGCAAGCACCAAGTGGAGAGATGATGTGCATGGAAGTGGCAGGAAGTTGCATGCGCAGAAGGGTACTGGCCGGGCCCGTGTTGGCGACAAGAAATCCCCGATCCGGAGAGGTGGAGGTGTTGCTTTTGGCCCTCATCCCCGCGACTTCTCTACGGAGCTCCCTCAGAAGATCTACGACCAGGCGTGGCGGATAGCCCTCAGTTACCGCTACAAGCGCGGCCAATTGATCATTGTCGACAACGAAATCGCCCTTCCGGAAGGTGCCACTCCCCATATTGTTGAGGAGATTTTCAAGGTCAACTGCTGGGGCCGGCACTATGGACGGTCAACATTGATCACGGACCAGCCGAACGAGGAGCTGTTCGAGACGGTGCGTCAGGCTGGCGAACACGCGAAGATCCTGGACCGCCGTGACGTGGATGTGAAGGACCTGTTGGAGACTGGACGCTTGATCATCGAGAAGCAGGCGCTGGACCGCATTCTGTCTCAGCATTCCAAGGATCTGAAGAACAAGCCGGCCAAGGCTTTGTACTAAATTTCTTTTACCTGGCGATGGGGTCTTTTACTGGTTAGCTTCGTTCTGTGTTTTATTTTGTACAAATAGATTCGAAATATGTATGATGGCATTACGGATTTTCAAGGATGAAAGTCACGGCATCCTTAGCAGAAACCTACGCCAAGCTGCCCGGTAATTCGTAAAGATCGATGTAGTTGGAAAGCACATGCCAGAGCGAGGTTGCCGAACGGAGATCCTCCACGGTATTATAGCCAGGATCCATTAAAGACTTCGAATCTGATTCAAGAAGATCCAAAGTATCTTAATCACAAAAAATTTAAAGCCTATATACTACTACTAAAGAGTCCTGGTTACTTCTGGTGGGACATCCCAACTCACGGCCGTTCGGCTGTTCTCCTCTTCAGCGGCCGGCGAGGAAAATCATTCCGCGAAAAACTCCGAGGTCAAAGCAAGCGGAGAACCGACGAGCTGCTCATCCTCATACTTAATCCCCTCATCCCTCCATTCCTTCACCCCGTCTCCTCCTCCACAACAGGCTGTGGTCTGCCTGATGTTACTCCGACGCAGTATTTGCCGGTTTTCAACACCGTCGAGCTGGATCTCGCGGGTTTCACCAGCTACCATGCCTCTCCGTGCCAAACTCACAAACCCAGCATTCGGGGCCACTGCTAGTGTATGTCTTCCTCTATCTCATGCTTCACCTCTCCCATTGACTGACGGTTACAGATGTCTACGGCACCTATCCCCAAAGAACTCCCCGGAGACGAGCCCGACGATGTCCTGTTCCACTCTCACTACGGTGTGCGGCTGATTGAGCTCAACCGTCCCAAGAAGCTCAATTCCTTGAACGGCTCGATGGTTCGGAAGATTGTGCCTCGACTGAAGGTTAGCTTGTGGCTGTGACCTATAATTATACGTGTGGACCTGTTGCTAAGCGATTGGGGTATTTTTCTAGGAATGGGAAAAATCCGACCTGGCCAATGTCATCATGCTCTCTGGCGCTGGCTCGAAAGCTCTGTGCGCCGGAGGAGATGTGGCTGCCCTGGCTCTGCAGAACGAGAAGGGCCCCGAGGGCCAGCAGGCCTCGTCCGACTTCTTCGCCGACGAATACCGTCTCGATCATCTCATCGCGACCTACCAGAAGCCCTTCGTCTCCGTGATGGATGGTATCACCATGGGCGGCGGTGTCGGTCTCAGTGTCCACGCTCCCTTCCGGATCGCCACTGAACGCACCGTGTTCGCCATGCCCGAGACCACCATTGGCTTCTTCCCGGATGTTGGCGGCTCCTTTTTCCTGTCCCGTCTCGATGGAGAGCTCGGAACATACCTGGCCCTTACCTCGGAGCGCCTCCACGGCGTTCAGGCCCTGTATGCCGGAGTTGCCACGCACTACTTGCACTCCAGCGCGCTGGCCAACCTGACGGCCCGTCTGTCTGAGCTCGTCTTCCGTGACTACTCCACATTCCAGGACCGTCTCGCTCTTGTCAACAAAACTATGGCCGAATTCTCGACGGGTGTGCCGTCCGTGCGCGAGGAGCCTATCCAACTGGCTGGCAAGCTGCGCAGTGCTATTGATCGCTGCTTCCAGTACAACACGGTGGAGGAGATCATCCAGGCGCTGCAGAAAGAAACGGAGATGAAGTCGTGGGCTGAGAAGACCCTGGAAACCCTGTCGGCGCGGTCACCTACCTCGCTCAAGGTTGCCCTGCGCCAGCTGCGTGTTGGCCGGCAGTGGACCATTTCCGAGACCTTCCAGCGTGAGCACGCCATCGCGTCCAAGTTCATGAGACACCCCGACTTTGTGGAGGGCGTGAAGGCCCGTCTCATGTCGAAGCCTCCCCGCCAAGCCACCTGGCAGCCGGCGACCCTCGAGGAGGTCTCGACCGAGGCTACCGATCAGTTCTTCGAGATTCCCGAGTCTGCATCGGGGCCTGAATCTCGACTGAGTCTCTACCACTACAAATCCCCGTACACCCAATACCCCTACAAGTTCGGATTGCCTAGCGAAAGCAGAATCGAGGCTTTCGTGCGTCACCGTGGAAGAAAGGGAGACCTGACCCTCAAAGAGATTGTTTCGAACTTCGACAGCAAAGAGGGTGTGAAGGAGAAGGTCGCCGAAGTTCTGGCCAGACGGACTGTCCGGGACGAGGCTGGTCTTCACTGGGTGAACTGATTTCTTTGGTGAAAGAAAGAAGAACATAAAGAATGTAAAAGGAGTCCATTATGTTCCTGTTGTTGTGTTCGTTGGGTCTGTATATTGGGTTAATATTATCAACATGTATTTCATATAAAGTTAGACACGCAAGCAACGGTCCCTTCT